CCACCCATCTAGTTTAGATAAGGAATGTTATCCACAGAAATTTATTGGAAATAAGCAATAAAAATAAGATCCACTTTTGACAAGTAAGGAATACACATCTGTCAGATGAGGTTAGTAATAATAAACTTCTCAACTATCTTTTCAATATTTTCAAATATTTTTCAAGAATGAAAAACCTTCCCTAATTACTGTAACTGAGCTAACTGTAAATGTAAAATAGTGTCATTAGGTACCCACACGTATCTAGTGAATAATATATAAGCACATTTATCAGCTAAGGTACCTGCTTTCTATATGAAAATATAAGCCTAATTTCACAATGATGAGGGGGAAACGTCTGACACTATCTTCCAATAAACCCATAATAACAGCATGCTAAAACATGACTCAGCACATCCACAAGGTGTTTGCTTTATAAATCTTCAAATTTTGATACACTATAGGCAGGCACTCAACAAGTATGTTACTAGTGACTGCCTTAAGCCTACTTCCTCATACTGTCCAAAACGAAAGTTACTATTTGTCCACAGATGAAAACAGGTTTGATGACAGGCATATGCACAAAGTTCAAGGATTTCCAAACTTCACCACTATGTTAATAATTCAGTGTTCTAGAGTGAAAAAAGTGGGTCTTCGGTTCTGCAAAGGACAATTAACGGGTAGAACTTGTTTTGAGACCACCTACTGAAAATACCTGGGAAACGCACTGAAAGATAAACCCGTAAGCCATTTCCCAAAGGAAATGTTTGGGAATTCACATTATATGTGTGTATACTAATAGACGTCCTCTGCTTCCAGCCTCCGATCAATCCCCGCCGTTGTCATCACTAAAACCCTAACGAAACGTCTCTTCAATCATCTGAAAAATCGAACCATTTAAACACTGCCGATCGTGTCAACGCTCACAAAGAGGGGTAGAAAGCGGTCAAACTCTAAGAAAAAGGGGGAATCCGTCTCTCCGGGGCGGCCAGGGCCCATACCCGGTAACGGGCACGTCGTCTTTCTTCGTGCCCAACGTCGCTATACGCTGACCCGGGAGGGCCCCGGTCACAGGGCCGCCCAGGGGGGCGAGGAGTAGAGATGGAAGGGACCGGGGCCGCGCGACCATTCCACCGGGTTTCGGACACCCCAGACCCCCGGGAGGCGGCGTCCACCCAGCCAAGGTCCGGGCAGGGCTCGGCCTGGGGTAGTGCTGGGCTTCTTGGGTCGCCCGCCCCGCCCCCGCTCTGACTCAGCATCCCAATTTCCCACAGGGGTCGGGAGCGCTCCTCGCCGGCCCGTGCCGGCTTCGCCGCCCGTGCCCCGCGCAGCTCGGCCCCTCCGCCCGCGCTGCCCCACTTACAGCGCCTGGTCTCCGTCGCACTACCTCCAGCGGGCTCCCGCGGCCTCCTTGAGCCCCGGGACACTTCCGGCTTCGCGAGCCCTGGCCGGGGGCCACGTGACCGACGGCCGGCGCGCGCGGGTGCGCCTGCGCACGCCCGCCGGACCAGCCTCGGCCTCCGCCTCCTATCCTGCCCGCCCGGCTAGTGCGGCGGCTGGCTTCCCGGTTCTCTGTAGCGAGGGGGCGGGGAGACTGGGGGCTGTCTGGAGTCCGACCTGGTCCACACCCTCTGCCTGTCCCTGCCTCACTCTAAGCGTGAAGCTAGGGAGCCCTGCGCAGTGAGCAGTTTCGGATTCCCAGAACTGCAAATCCCGCCCCGTCCTCGACAGCCAACGACAGGGTGCGGCGTACGATGATAGTGGGGGAAGACAGACATTGAACTCCTGATTGCAAACATTCTAATAGTCTCAGGTGTGCAGAATGCTGGACACGTGCGAGGCTGTCACTGGGGAATATCAAAGTCTGGAGGGATAGATCTGTAACTGTTTTAAAGGCTGTGTTGGCTGCAGTGGAGTCCCATGATCGCCTCAGAATAATCCAGACGTGGAATTCTTAATGTAAATAAGCTCATTTAATTCCTTTTTATTTATTTTTTGGCGTTGTGGAGTGAGGAAGTCAGGAGTGAAAGTTGTCTTAATTCCCTCTTTCCACGGTATTTTGGAAAATGGCACTATTGGAGAACTTGACTGAAATCAGGTGCTGAAATATTCGTGCCGCCGAGATCTCAAGCAGCTGCTCCTAGAGTGATCCCTTCTGCCCACGAACTGCACTGCAGCCTTTCTCAACAAAGTGAGAGGTCACATAGTGAGAGGTCACAGACTGGCTGATTCAGGGCTAAACTTACAGACGAAGAGGAAGAATTCTTCCTAGTTGAGAACTACAGCGACCAGGAATGAAATAGGAAACCAGAGGCTTTTGAATGGAACAGATCTGGAGTTGCAGTCCCAACTCTCCCCACCAGATACTGACTCTAAGCACGTCCACCTCCCCCCGCCCCCCGCCAAAGTCTGTTATGTCCTATGCACAATGGAGATAACAAGTCCACAGTAATGCGTTGTTACAAAGGAAGTTATTTTATTAGATTTTGAACAATGTTTAAATGGAACCATTTAATTAACCAATGTTAGATGGAACCATTCTAACAACAAATCTATTTACTGCTTACAATTCCAACCAATTTCAATCCTGTTATTTAATGCCAAGGAGGGGACCTGTCCAGGTAACAGTTAAGACTTACAGCTCGAAAGTTTTATGGGAGAAAATGTAATTAGCTGAGCCAAAGGCCTTGATTCACATATTTACCACTGAAATACCAGGTATTTTCTTAAAGATAGAGCTGCTTGTGAACCAATTAACATTTAAGACTTTAAATAAACTCTTTGGCACAGAACTAGACCAGGCATTATAAAACCCTTGTTGTTCCATAGTCAAATCACACAAATCCCTGTCTTTTGCCTCAGTGACCTCACCTGTCAAGAGGTGAGAGTCACTCTTGTGACAATTATTTGGGTGCTTGTTTTTGGAAACTAAACACAAGTAAGTAATTCATGATGAAGCAGAGTTTCCTAATTGCTATGGTACTCTCTAAATAAAGTGCTCTGGGTAACTTCAGGGAAAGATGGGAATTATACATGACCATAGAACATGAAGTATCTTCTATTGCAGACTTAATTTCCATGTCTTGTTTTCTCTTGGCTCTGAACATACATGAATTTTTTTTTAAAGATTTTATTTATTTGACAGAGAGAGGGAGACAGTGAGAGAGGGAACACAAGCAGAGAGAGTGGGAGAGGGAGAAGCAGGCTTCCCGCTGAGCAGGGAACCCAACGCGGGGCTCAATCCCAGGATCTCGGGATCATGACCTGAGCCAAAGGCAGACGCTTAACGACTGAGCCACCCAGGCGCCCCATACACGAATCTCTTGAAGGGCTTTAAACAGGGAAAAAGGAGGGGTCATCTACATATACAGAACTAATAGTACAGTGACCAAAGCTAGTAAGAAGCCTTCATGCACCGGTACTACAATAAGCTATTCATGCTTAAAAACTTGGGTGAAGTAGCTACCATTATTTCCCCATTTTACAGATGTGGAAATGGGTATGGAAAAGTTACTTAACTTAAATTTCTTAAAGCCAGTGACTAGCAGAACTGTTATCTGAACCTTCTTAAATCTGCAGCCTGTCTTAGCTCTTAGGCACTATGCTGACTTGCTAGTATACTTTGAAAAAAAAGTGCTATTGCACTAGATGCAATGATCTTTCCCACTGTACAGAGAAACTTACCAATGAAACACAAACTTTCACATACCCATTTTATTTTTCTTTAGAGAGAGAACACTTGTGAGCAAGCAGGGGTGGGGGGTGAGGGAGAGGGAGAGAGAATCTTAAGCAGGCTCTACACTTAGCGCAGAGCCTGACGTGGGACTCGATCCCACCACCCTGAGATCATGACCTGAGCCGAAATCAAAGAGTAGGATGCTTAACCAACTGAACCACCCAGGTATTTTTTTTTTTTTTTTTAAGTAAGCTCTATGGGGGTGCCTGGGTGGCTCAGGTCATGATCTCAGCGTCCTGGGATCCAGCCCCATATCAGGCCCTGCGCTCAGCAGGGTCTGCTTGTCCCTCTCCCACTGCCCCTCCCCCTGCTCATGCTCTCTCTCTCAAATAAAAATCTAAAAAAAAAAAGTAAGCTCTATGCCCAAGGTGGGGCTTGAACTCATGACCCTGAGACCAAGAGTCCTATGCTCTATCCAACGGAGCCAGCTAGGTCCCCCTCACCTCTTCTTAACATTTTTATTTAAGCATAATATACATTTCACCCATCTTTTTTTTTTTTTTTTTAACAACTAACCATTAGTTCAGTACTTTTTTTCTATGATGTAAGGAAAATGTTTAAAATTACTACTGGAATTAACACCAGAAAAGATTTATGTATATAATTTAGAATAGTTTTAGGGAGTTTAAATAGACCACTGAAGCCCATCATGAAACCTTTAGGGGAACCACATGGGCCAAAGGTTAAAAAAAAAAGCCCTCCCCTAAAATCTTACTTGAGCTTTTAGAATTTAAACTTAAATGACTGTAGTAATTTTTTTCTTTCTTCCTTCTTCTTTCTTAATTCAATTAACATAGAATGCATTGTTTCAGAGGCATAGGTCTGTGATTCATATCTTATACAGTATCCAGTGCTCATTACAACACATACCCTCCCCAATGACTGTAGCAATTTAATTCTGCTGTTCAGTTTATCCCTCCTCTCTTAATTTCTTATATACTTACTGATACTATTATTTTTCCTCTTGCTTTTCTTGTAGAGTTGTGAATAAAAATGGGGAAAAGTACTTCTAGTAACTAAATGGGCAGCTACTTGTAAGCATCATTAACACATAGGTATAGTGTCCTAAGTAAATCCAATAAAAGAGGGAAAAAGTGGATTTTAAATTCTAACACTAGATTGAAATAGGCTTTTTTAAAAAGAACTGAAGAGAACTAAGTTGCATGTAACCTTTTGGGAGCATAGATAAATCATCTATAAGCTTCTATGTGCAATTCTTTAAATGGGAAATTAGGGAGAGATGAGAAAATAAAACTATAATAATGCCAAAAAAAACTTAGATTTCACTACGTAAAATTTATTTTTATTTTTTTATAAAAAGTGTATAACACTGGTACCTACTCTTAAATCAGTTAATTTATGAAACCATTCTCTTTTGTAGAACACACATTGGCATCGAAAACAGTTTAAAGAAATGTAATGGCTATCTACAAAAAATTAGTTTTGATTTATTATATTCCCTCCATATTTTGAGACGGCACATGTAAAAGAAAATTAAAATTTTCAAACATTTTATATTTAGCAATTGAAAAAAAGTACACTGTTTTCCTGCTATGGTCTTTATAAAGGATTTAACGTTTCAAGTAAAAAAAAAAAGGTACTAGGATAACCGTGCTGTATCTTTTAACAGCATTTTTATATAGAACAGTTTGAACTGGCATGCAAGCAACTTCTTTTGTTGTCACATACCTGTATTCAGAGAAAATTACACCCATTTTACAGAAAAATCCCAATACATATACTGCAATAAGCTTAAAGCAATGTTAAAAAAAACCAGTGTGAATGGCACACAAAACTGCTTCTTTATAAATTAACTGGAATTCCTGATCATAAAGTAGGCACAGGGAGATCCAGTCCTTAGGGCTTTGCTCTCTGGAAGAATACCTGTAAATAAAATATTAGTACAATTAGTACTGATGTCAAAAGATATCACCTTTTACCTGAAGAATGGCTCCAAGTCAGTAAGTGCTAGTCACTCTTTTGTAAAATATAATCAGTATTTAGAACATTTCACATATTACATAAATCCACACATGGTTCAAGAACTTTCTTTTCTGGACAATTTAATCAAACCTAGAGATAACTTATGTTGACATTAGTTGGGAAACTAGTGAAAATATGGTTATTAACTCTAATGTGATGAGAATTCAAGTGGTTAGAGGAAAACATGCTCTTTATACCTTTTCTGACTGGCACACTGTCACAGCTAATATTGGGAAATTAAATTTTGAGGAAGAAATAAATCAAAGCTAAAGCTAGCAGCTGTTATCCCTTAAGGAATTTACTATTTGATTATAAAAAAAATACTTGCAATTCAACATTTGAGACTATGAATGAATAGGCTAGAGGTTGTGCTGGTGACTGGTCCAATATTACATACTACCCTCCACAGTTAGGTAAATGGTTTTTTTTTTTTTTTTAAGTAAAGATTTTATTTTTAAGTAATTTCTGCACCCAATGTGGGGCGGCATGAACTCACGAATCTGAATTAAGCCAGCCAGGTGCCCCCATAGTTAGGTACATATTAAGTGAGCACTAGAAAATCTACTGGCCATAAACTCATGAAGGACTGTATTCATCATTGTATCCCCAGCACCTAGTAGATCAGGCATTCATTTAACAAACTATTAACTAAGTGAAGAGAAGAATGATCACTATATGAGCAAACAAAGCCTTAAAAGAGGCCATGCTTGAGGCAAACCAAAAAGAATGGGTCGAATTCATAAAAGAAGAGGGTTGCTAATAAAGCAGAATTTTTGAAGAACAGCAAGAATAGCAAAGACTTCCAGCAAGAGAAACCAGAGACGGTCTGAGATCAGAATGTGGGAGATAAAAAAAAAAGCCCTGAATGTCAAACTAAGAAACATGAACTTATTTTTAGCCAACAATATAGGTTTATGAAGAGTATAAGGGGAATGAATTTCAGAGGACTGTTCAGGGTTCTCAAACAGCTCAGCTTGGCTACGAGAGAAGGAATATTGGCCTGAGAACCTAAATCCACACCAGAGTAGCAGCAGTGGAGACAGAGAGGAAGTTGAGAGTGAGAAGAGAATCTGCAAGATCTAAGGATCAATCACATCTAAAAAGAGTAGGCACAAAAGAAGGAACTTCACTTTTCCCAACAAGAAGAGTGCTATCCTGGACATAATGCTTGCACTGAAAAAAAGTTGGGCTTGGAAGAAGACTTTTTATAAATGCAGTTGGATGAATTACTATGTTTGGAGCCCGAGCCTGCTACACTGTACCTGGATCTGCTGTTACAGATACCTTTAAGAGTTACAATTTTTGTGAGTCCTTTCACCCAGTTGGATCAGTTATTAAGCAGACTGTTACCTACATAGGCACTTTGCTTTTATAGGAAAATGGGAGTGGGGAGGGTTCCCAATGATAAACAGTAACTTCTAATATTCTTCTCACAAACTCCCTTCAGTTTAAGCTGACAAACTAGTACTCGGGGAAAAAACTGACAAGGAAAGTTGTTATAGAAGCAAAGTCAAAGGATGAAACATTTCCTCAGCAAAGGCCCTGCCTTATGAATTTTATTGAATGCCTTGGACAAAAGAACCAGGTAGTCATTCATTAAGTCACTTGCTACCAAGATATTTAGCATAGTGTTTTGTCCTCAGATTTGTTGAATGAAGTTGTAATAGAAACAAAGAACAGTTCTTTATCTTGTCACACTGCAATTTTATTTCCAGAACACAAGCTCTTTACAGGCAAGAAAAGTAACTTGTATGGTTATCTGCAGCAATTAGCATAGTACCTGTTACATAAAAAGCCATCATGGAGTAATGAATGACTGGCTGGGTCATTCATTACTGGGTAAGAGCAAGGTTTTAAATTTTAAATATGAATACCAAATAAACCCTTGGTACTTCTTGTCAACTCTGAGAGCTTTTAAAACAATTCACTGAATTTATGGGGCGCCTGGGTGGCTCAGTCTTGGTTTCGGCTCAGGTCAGGGTCTCAGGGCTGTGAGATCAACCCTGCATCAGGCTCCACACTCAGTGTGGAGTTGGTGAAGATTTTTTCCCCTCCCACTCTGCTCCTCCCCCATGTGCTCTCTCTCTCTTAAATAAATAATAAAATCTTTAAAAGAAAAAAATTCACTCAATTTACGAATGTAAAAAGAGCCTTGACTGCCAAATCTGAGGATTCTTTCTTCAGAAGTTTCAAAAATAGGATATAACCAAGTAATTCATACTTCCGTTTTCATATTTTTAGCTCCTTTCTTTCAATTCAATATGGGCACATGTTCTTAAACATTACTTGTCTCAATCCTGTAGTTCCTATTTAATTATATCACAAACTGTAAAAGGAAACTGGCATTTTCATAGTATGTTCAAGCATGTACACACTGTGCTTATCTTACTTTTTATGATCTTTTCTAAGAACTCAGTTGAAAGGGGCTTTATAGAAAACTCTGAAGTATAACATCTAAAACTATAGATTTTTTAGAAGCAGGTTTTAGAAGATATCCCCAAATAAGTAATAATTGGTAAGACTACAGTATGACATAGTATCCTATAATATGTGTTCTCTCTCTGCTCTAAAATATTACCTAGTTGTACGAAGATATGTAAGTTTTCCAAATACCTACCTTTAAGTAATTTTTAAAAACTTTAGCATCAGGCTGCTGAAGCGCTTGACAAAACTCCTGAGGGGCCAAGATAGGAGGAAAGAGAATGAATCTAATTGTATTAAATTCATGGTAATTCAAATCCACAGTTTTCTTTTTTGAATTATGTTTAAAAAAAACCCATATAACTGACCACCTTAACCACCATTTTTATATGTACGGTGCATTACCATTAACTATATGATCTGTTGTGCAACAGATCTCTAGAACTTTTCATCTTGTAAAATTGGAACTATACCCATTGAACATCAATTCCCCCATTTCCCTTCCCCAACACCCCTGGCCACCACCATTCTACTTTCTGTTCCTAAGGGTTGGACTACTTTAGATACTTCATATAGGTGGAATTATGCAGTATTTCTCTTTTTGTGACTGGCTTATTTCACTTAGCATAATGTCCTCAAGGTTCATTCATGTTGTACATGTGACAGGATGTCCTTTAAGGTTGAATAATATCCCACTGTATGTATATACTACATCTTACTTATCCATTCATCTGTCAAAAGACATTTAAGTTGCTTTAAATCTACAGTAGTAGTATGATGACTTATCAAAGTCACCTAGAACAGTTCCTCACCAAAAAAAGTTCTATGGCATTTTCAAATGTAATACTTGTCAGATATAGACTGCTTTCACTTTTGAGAACATGGCTCTCCTAAACAAGGTTGACTCATGCCTGAGAAGGGAGAATGGGACAAAAACTACATTGCTCTGACTGTTCTCACCTAGTAAGAGTGGTAACTGAGTAGAGCTTGACCAAAAGAAAAAGAGGTTAAGTCTCTCTAACAGAATTCTGCAAAGTGTTGTCAGAAGGCATATGAAAAAGGGAAAACTGGGGATGCTTATTTTTTATAATCAAATTATTAGACAGAAATATAATTTTGCTTTACTTAGCAATCTGGTATATTTCTATTTTTGATGGGCATTAAGCTCATGTAATTGTAACTTACTGCTTTCATTAAAACATTACTTATGTAACAAATTAAAGCTGAGAAAATCCATTAATACCTTTAAAGTTAAAGATGGTATGTCATGAAATAAGAGATCATAAATTCATTAAAAATGAGTTTTATGATCACTCTTATGCAAGATCTATCCTAGTTTTCATCCAATTTTTTCAATGTCTCTCATAAAATAGCATTATAAAAACTTTTTTAAAACACTGTTGGTGAAGAAACAATTCTTAGAATCTGATGGAGAGATTTGTAATCAAAACTTTAAGGGGTGGGGCGCCTGGGTGGCTCAGATGGTTAAGCGTCTGCCTTCGGCTCAGGTCATGATCCCAGGGTCCTGGGATCGAGTCCTGCATCAGGCTCCCTGCTCCTTGGGAGCCTGCTTCTCCCTCTGCTTCTCTCTCTCTCTCTCTGTCTCTCATGAATAAATAAATAAAAAAAGTTAAAAAAAAAAAGTAACATGGAAACCTTAATTTAAAAAAAAAAAACTTTAAGGGGTGCCTGGGTGGTTCAGTCGTTAAGTGTCTGCCTTAGGCTAGGTCATGATCCCAGGGTCCTGAGATTGAGCCCTCCATTGGGCTCCCCCTACTTGTGCTTGTTCTCTGTCAAATAAATAAAATCTTAAAATAACAACAACAACAAAACATCTCTGATATCTCAATTAGATCTATGTGCTATTGGACAAGTCTGGGTAACTACACACCAAGAAAATCACTGAATGCCATTAAAAAAATTACTCTGCAATAGTGTAAAATGTAACATCGGTTTCCAGATACTTCACAACATAGTTTCAGATTTAAAAATTAAGCATTGATAAGCTTGGCATATGTAAAATAAACTACCTAGCACCAATCTTCACAGTAGGTTTGTGTGTTGTGGTGCCCTTTGGCAGTCTGGGGGAGCCTACTGGACTCCTTTTAGAATTTTTTTTTAAATCTATTGTTATTGGGGTGCCTGGGTGGCTCAGTTGTTAAGCGTCTGCCTTTGGCTCGGGTCATGGTCCCAGGGTCCTGGGATCGAGCCCCGCATCAGGCTCCCTGCTTGGCGGAAAGCCTGCTTCTTAACTCATCCACTCCTCACAGTAACTCCATTTTTCAGATGGGGGAACTCAGGCTCAGAGAGATTAAGTAACCTGCTCAAGTTACCAGAAATTTACCAGAGCCAGGCCTCAAACCAAAGCAGTCTGGCTCCAGACTATATTTTTTTTTTTCTAAGATTTTAATTATTAGATTTAAAGATTTAAATCTGAAACTATGTTATGAAGTATCTGGAAAGCGATCTCCCTGCTTGTGTTCCCTGTCTCGCTGTGTCTGTGTCAAATAAATAATTAAATCTTTAATTATCTTTCTCCCTCTCCCACTTCCCCTGCTTGTGTTCACTCTCTGTCTCTCTCTCTCTGTCAAATAAATAAATAAAATATTTAAAAAAATCTATTATTATTATTTTAAAGATTTTATTTATTTGAGAGAAAGAGAGAGAGCAGGGTGAGAGGCAGAGGGAGAAGCAGACTCCCCGACGAGGGAGCCCAATGCGGGGCTGGATCCCAGGACCCTGAGATCACGACCAGAACTGAAGGCAGATGCCCAACTGACTGAGCCACCCAGGCACCTCCATTTTTAAAAATTTATAATACATGGGATTACAAAGAAAACTAATTATAATGGCTTACGGTTATCAAAAAATATTTTTGATATGTGCTAGAATAGTAAGACTTACTGACTTGGATAACAAGGTCTAGTGGTGTATCTTAAGAACTCACAATTTCAGTATCTTGAAGTATAAACAATATTGTGAGATCCCTGAAATAACTAATGTGACACAAAAACATCTGTGATTTCTACTGGTGACAAAGTCACAGGCAATGCGAATGCTACTGTGCTTTGTGATTTGTCACGCACATAATGGTAGGAAATTAAATTTTTGGTTAAAGGTTAGTGAAAATAAAAATATAATTTTCTCCCATTCAATTTCATATACCCCTGAAGTTTGAACTCTGTGATCCTGTATATAGTAAAACATCAAGTTGAATGCAGTTTAACTTTTTCTTTCTTTTTTTTCAGTTTAACTTTGTTGAATCAAAATTTAGATTGAACTACATAGTCCTATTTCTTTAATTAAATTAAGAAAAATATCTGCTCTGACAGTTCTTACCTGAATTATTTCTGGAGCTACTTGCAAGGAAGGCAGGTATTCCTGTTGAAGATACTGAACACATTCTGGGCCCTGAAAATCAAAAGATAATTATAACTGAATTATTTTCTTGATATTAATAATGCATAAAAAGAAATTAGAATGACACATGTATACATCAAACACAATATGGTATTGTGATTAAGAATTAGTCTGGAGGGGCGCCTGGGTGGCTCAGTTGTTAAGCGTCTGCCTTCGGCTCAGGTCATGATCACAGGGTCCTGGGATTGAGCCCCGCATCGGGCTCCCTGCTCGGCGGGAAGCCTGCTTCTCCCTCTCCCTGTCGCTCTCCCTGCTTGTGTTCCCTGTCCTGCTGTTTCTGTGTCAAATAAATAATTAAAATCTTAGAAAAAAAAAAGAATATAGTCTGGAGCCAGACTGCTTTGGTTTGAGGCCTGGCTCTGGTAAATTTCTGGTAACTTGAGCAGGTTACTTAATCTCTCTGAGCCTGAGTTCCCCCATCTGAAAAATGGAGTTACTGTGAAGAGTGGATGAGTTAAGAAATAGAAAGCTTTTAGAATAGTGTTTAGCATTCATTACATGTTAACATTACTTAGCATTATATAGTGAAGATTAAAAAAATATTCTTCCAAATCAGGGAAGTAACAATGCCAGAGTCTTCCAAGCACTGAAAGAAGACAGCAAACAGAGATGCTCTTTTTCAATCTACCCCCGGGTGGATTATATGGTGTCTGTGGGTACATGAGGGGAAGCCTCTGGGCAAGTGCTAGGGTAGTAACCATCCTGAGAAACTAAAATACAAGCAAAAAATAACAAAAGGATATGTTAAGAGATAACAGCAATAAAAGTACACCTCCCTTTTTCCTGTTCGACCATCATGGAACAGGAATTAAGCAGCCAAATGAGGAAACCAAGACCGAGAAAGATAGGGTGATTTGCCCAGTCCAGTGTGCTGTTGATTTCATCTGTACTGAAAAGCAGGTCACCTGATTTCTAAAACCATTGCTCTTCTCTGCCATCTTTTAGCACTTCTAGATGCTAAAAATTACAATAGTGTTCTGTTTTTGTTTCTTTTTTTAGTAAACTTGTGGAGGGAAGGCAGAGCTGTTCTACAAACTAATCCCAAACCCCTGCCCCTTCTCAGAAGCTGCAAAGGAACTTAGGATACAATTTGAAAATGGTTTTCTTATAGCACTGTGTTTGAGAGGGTGGCCTGAAGCAAATGTAATGAATCCAGGACTTCATACATACACACACACACACTCCTCACTTTCAACCCTGAATCTGATTTAAAGATTTTAATATGTTGATGACTCCAACCCTGGTCCAACTGAAAGTAAGTTATCAAAATGAAATCATCATCAAAAAAATCAATCCATCTCTCCTCAATGCACTTTTCCCTGCCTTAACACTTGAATTTCCTGTTTAATAATACTCCTGAATCAAAGAATTCATGTTTCTCCTTCCACCCTGGCCCCTGCCCCTCTAACCCAATGGGCCTACAGCATAATTTAATGCCCTCTCAAAGGAAAGCTATTCCTAATTCAGAGGAACTAACAATGCACTGTTTGTGAAAGCTTCTCAGATCTGTTCTACATTCCTTCTCACATTTTGGGGTTTTTTGTTTTGTTTTGTTTTTGCTGCATTTCACTGCAAAATGTAAGTTATTTATTTATTACTTTTTTAAAGATTTATTTATTTATTTGAGAGAGCGAGAATGAGAGAGAGAGAGTACATAAGAGGGGGGAAGGGTAGAAGCAGGCTCCTTGCTGAGCAGGTAGCCCGATGCGGGACTCGATCCCGGAACTCCGGGATCATGACCTGAGCCGAAGGCAGTCGCTTAACCAACTGAGCCACTCAGGCACCCCGTAAGTTATTTATTTAAAGTATAGCTGATTTCTCACCTTTTCTCTCTCCCTCTCTCTCTTTTTTTAAGTAAGCCCTATGCCCAATGTGGGGCTTGAACTCACGACCCCAATATCAAGAGTTGCATGCTCTACTAACTAAGCCAGCCAGGCGGCCCCCTCCTTGACTTTCTAGCATCCTCTCTTATGAGTCTTTTCTCTTAGCATTCGTACCTCTTGGTTCTACTTCTAGCTTTCTCTTGACTCTTGCTTTAGCCAGAGTTTTTTCTATTCTAGTCTTAGAAAGTCTCATTCATTCCTACCACTTCACCTTGACTACACACTGTGGACTCCAAAATCAGTATTTAGTTCTAATTGCTTCAGACCCATATTCCAAACTGCTCTCTGGATATGCTTCCAAGTTATCCTAAATATAACCCTAGTGCCCACTGACTTCCCAACTTTTCATATATAACATAAGGCTTTTTACTACCTAATCCTATTTTACTTTTTAGTTATTACTTCTACCTCCCTACTTCAGCTAAACAGGATAATTCTATTATTTTCTATCAAATCCAGAAGGCAACATCTGCTCTATCTTCATATATCTGCTTAACTTTGCCCAGAATGACAGCTCCTCTTGTCAGTCCAATGAATCTACATGTGTCCTAAGGCCTATCAAAAACCAAAACCACTTCTTTCCTATTTCTTAGATTGCCAACATAGGCAAAATTGCTTGCTCATCTTTAGTCTCACAATATTACATTTAATATAGATAGATTTAATGTATCTCTATTCAAGTACTTAACACATTGAGTTATTTACACATTGTGTCCCGATTCTAAGCCCTAAAAATATTGGGGGACTAGCAGCTCCCTTGCTGCGATCTATTGAAAGTCAGCCCTTGACACAAATGTTTAAAAAAAAATAAAATTAAAAAAATATATATTGGGGGACTTTTAAACTTAATTCATCTTTATACAGTTCCCCTGCTGCCCTCCTCTCCCCTACCAGTCCCCACATACTCTTCACCCTGGCACGGTAGACATAAAACCCTTCAAATCTGTATCAGTATCAAAACTCAAGTTCAAATGAGGGAGTGGACTGCATGGAGACTGGTGAATACTTTTTTGGGGGGTGGGGGCAAGCTGCTCTGTGGGAATGTGAGTCCTTTGTTGGCATCCTGGCTTTGAGAGAAGCTGGAGATAGGAATTTTTCTTTTTTAAAAAAAGTACCTGATTTTTATTTTTAAAATTTTATTATTTTTTTAAGTAGGCTCCATGCCCAACATGGGGCTCAAACTCACAATCCTGAAATCAAGAGTTGTATGCTCCACTGACTGAGCCAGCCCGGTACCCCAGTACCTGATTTTTAAACGTTCACAATCAAATTCATGTTACTAAAAAATACTATACAAGGGCGCCTGGGTGGCTCAGTTGGTTAAGCGACTGCCTTCGGCTCAGGTCATGATCCTGGAGTTCCAGGATCAAGTCCCGCATCGGGCTCCCTGCTCAGTGGGGAGTCTGCTTCTCCCTCTGACCCTCCCTCCTCTTATGTGCTCTCTCTCTCAAATAAATAAAATCTTTAAAAAAAAATAAATAAAAATACTGTACAAGGTAAACAACTCACCAGCTGGATTCAGCCCAGAATCACTTACAATTTTGCAAATGATTAGACTGACAAGGAGAACAAAACATTCTAAAGTAGTGAAGCACTCTAACCATTTATAATATTAAGAATTTGGGGAAATCTGGCTGTGAAGAGCCAACTGAGTCATGAAATGTAGATCTTTTTATAATTTTTCGCATTCTTTGTCAAACCAAAATAAAACATTTTAAACTTCTTGTTATCCCAAACAGAAAGGACAGTAATAGGTACTGCTACTTTCATTCAACCCCTTCCTCATGTCCAAAAAAGACAGAACTAAGTCAACTTTTACAAAAGATACACCGAGACAAGTCAAACACAATTAAAACCATAACAAATCTGCACTTACGACGAAAATGAAAGGGCACAGAGTGCAAGGCTTACCCGTTTGAGATGAATTGTTTTCAATGTCACCGCACACTCAGATAAAGCCTATGAAAAACAGGTGTGAGAATTTTAATACACTCAATTTTTGGTTACCGATCCCACTTGTCTCTTTATTTCCCTGGCCACTGCTCATTAATAATTACTCCCAAACAAGGGACAGAGGAAGGAAAGTGACAGGCATATGGAATAAGTGGGTTGGATAGAAAAAGGAAAAAATACAAAAATGCTGTCTTAATGCAGTATATCAAATCATAAAGTCTAGTTTGTACTAGGTTTTGGGGAAATGAGTAAAGGGCACTGCTTGACATTAGTATTCTGAAAATGGGATCTAGGGAAACTATCATCCAAGCAAAAAAAAGTTACTCTTCATGGTTAAGAAAAAACCATTAAGCGCAAAGTTTAGAATGAAAGTAGTAGAAAATTAGTAACTCAATCAAGTTTTAATGAGTGCTTGTATCATGTACCCTTTCATGGTCCTAGAAAAAGAGGAGTTGGAGGCTGTTAAAGTTGAAGGAACTGGATTTTGTATTTTAAACTTTAGTATCAGGATTCAGTAAGAATCTACAAAAGGTCCAGAAAATATCATCAATCTTTTAAAAATGAATCCTAATTTGAAATTAATTTAAAAAAAATAATGGCAATGAGACTAATATAGTCAACCTGGCATTAAAGAAATTGTGAGTTAGAATACACAAGATGGACACAAGGCAAACAAAGATTCCTAGGTGCTTACCAACACTGTTTGTGCATCTGCCAGGTCAAAGGTTTGTTTTAAAGGTGCTAGGAAACATGCAGGGACAATGTGCTTATAAACAAAATCAGCAAATCCCACTGGTCCATCTTTACCTCCTGTCAAGAGAATTCAAATTTTCATCTTGTATAAAAAGAAAGTCAATTAGTTATTACTGGAGAAAGTTAACTCCCAGCTCCTATGTTAGAGCTAGGGTTCCATCTCTAAGGGTCTTAGGAAACAGGTTGTGGAATGAAGTTTTTTTTTTTTTTTTTTTTTTTTAAATCCTCTTACCCCAGAGTTCTACCAACTTGGAGAGGATGATAAAACATGTCTTCTGTGCAATTGGATCTGGATATTCAACTGCTCCTTGGATAACAGTAACCAGCACTCGTTCTACATTCTCTGCACCTGAAGAGAGATAAAAACTTGGTTTAATTTTAAGGATTTTAGAGAGAGAGAGAGAGCATGACTGGGGGGAGGGGGGAATCTTCCAGTAGACTCCCCACTGAACAGGGAACCTGACGTGGGGCTCCATCTCACAATCCGGAGATCATGACCTGAGCCGAAACCAAGAGTCCGACACTTAATGGACTCAGACACCCAGGTGCCCTAAGCTTAATTTTAAAAAGAGCTAGAAAGGCAACCTGAAGCACTCACTTTGTTGTTACTTTTCCTTTTTTTAAATGATTTTATTTATTTATTGGAGAGAGAGACAAATGGAGCAGGGGGAGGGGCAGAGGCAGAAGCAGACTCCCCTGTGAGCAGGGAGTCTGACATGGGGCTTGATGCTGGGACTCCAGGATCATAAACACTTAACTGACTGAGCCATCCAGGCACTCCTCATTGTTTCTTTTAATTTTCTTTTTGGGTAATTCACTTTTATTTTTAAAAATTTTAAGTTATTTTTTTAATTTAAATCTTAGGTAGTTAACATACAGTGCAATATTGGTTTCTGGTGTATAATTCAGTGATTCATCACTTACATACAACACCCAGTGCTCTTCGTAACAAGTGCCCTCCTTAATACCCATCACCCATCTAACCCATCCCCCACCCACCTCCCTCCATCAACCTTGTTATCTACCGTTGAGTATTTTATAGCTTCTTTTGCTCTTTCTTCCCCATTCCCATATGTTCATGTTTTTTAAATTCCAGGAGATCATACAGTATTTGTCTTTCTCTGACTTATTTCACTTAGAATACACTCTAGCTCCATCCATGTCAATGTAAACGGCAAGATTTCATTTTTTTTTTTTTAAAGATTTTATTTATTTGACAGAGAGAGACACAGTGAGAGGGAACACAAGCAGGAGGAGTGGGAGAGGGAGAAGCAGGCTTCCCGTGGAGCAGGGAGCCCAATGCGGGGCTCGATCCCAGGACCCCGGGATCATGACCTGAGCCGAAGGCAGACGTTTAACGACTGAGCCACCCAGGCGCCCCTCATTCTTTTTGATAACTAACATTCCATTGTATATATATACCACATCTTCTTTATCCATTCATCAGTCGACATTTGGGCTCTCTCCATAGTTTGGCTACTGTTGATAATGCTGCTATAAATATCCAGGTGCATGTATCCCTTCGAACCTGTATTTTTGTATCCTTTGGGTAAATACCTAGTACTGCAATTGCTGGATCATAGGGTAGCTCCATTTTTAACTTGTTGAGGAACCTCCATACTATTCTCCAGCATTGCTGCACCAGTTTGCATTCCCACTAATAAGTGCAAGAGGGTCTCCCTTTCTCCACATCCTTGCCAACACCTGTTGTTTCTTGTGTTGTTAATTTTAGCCATCCTGACGGGTGTGAGATGGTTATCTCATCTGGTTTTGATTTGCATTTCCCTGATGATGAGTGATGTTGGGCATCTTCTCATGTGTCTGTGAGCCATCTGGATATCATTTTTAGAAAAGTGTCTCATCATGTCTTCTGCCCATTTCTTAATTGGGTTATTTGTTCTTTGGGTGTTGAGTTTGTTCTTTATGGATTTTGGATACTAGCCTTTATCTGATAAGACATTTGCAAATATCTTCTCCCATTCTGTCAGTTGTCTTTTGGTTTTGTCGACTATTTCCTTGGCTGTGCAGAAGCTTTTTATCTTGATGAAGTCCCAATAGTTCATTCTTGCTTTTGTTTCCTTACCTGTGGTGATGTGTCTAGCAAGGAGTGGCTATGGCTGAGGTCAAAGAGGTTTCTGCCTTTGTTCTCTTCGAGGATTTTGATGGTTTCCCGTCTCACATTTGGGTCTTTCATCCATTTTGAATTTAGTTTTGTGTATGATGTAAGGAAGTGGTCCAGTTTCATTCTTCTGCATGTGGCTGTCTAGTTTTCCCAACACCGTTTGTTGGAGAGACTGTCTTTTTTCCATTGGCTATTCTTTCCTGCTTTGTCGAAGATCGGTTGACCATATAGTTCTGGGTCCATTTCTGGGTTTTCTATTCTGTTCCATTGATCTATGTGTGTTTTTATGCCAGTACTATACTATCTTCATGACTGCAGTTTTGTAATATAACTTAAAATCCCGAACTGTGATGCCTCCATCCAGTTTTGTTTTTCTTTTTCAGAATTGCTTTGGCTATTCAGAGTCTTTTGTGGTTCCATATAAATTTTAGTATTATTTTCTCTAACTGTGAAAGATGCTGGTGGTATTTTGATGGGGACTGCATTAAATGTCTAGATTGCTCTGGGCAGTCTAGACATTTTGACAATGTTCTTCCAATCCACGAGCATGGAATGCTTTTCCGTTTCTTTGTGTCCTCAATTTCTTTTGTAAGTGTTTTATAGTTTTCAGAGTATAGATCTTTTACTTCTTTAGATTTATTCCTCGGTATCTTATTGTTTTTGATGCAATTGCAAATGGGACTGATTCCTTGATTTTTCTGCTGCTTTGTTATTGGCATATAGAAATGCAACAGATTTCTACACATTGATTTTATAACCTGTGACTTTGCTGAATGAATTCCTATATGAGTTTTAGTAATTTTTTGGTGGAGTCTTTCAGGTTTTCTACATAGAGTATCATGTTGTCTGCAAATAGTGAAAGTTTGCTTCTACCTTGCCATTCTGGATGGCATTCTTTTATTTTTTTGTAGTCTGATTGCTGAGGCTAAGACTTCCAATACTATGTTAAATAGTAATGGTGAAAGTGGATATCCCTGTCTTGTTCCTGACCGTAGGGGAAAGGCTCTGTTTTTCACCATCGAGGATGCTATTAGCTGTGGATCTTTTGTATATGGCCTTTATGATGTTGAGGTATGTTACCTTTATCCCTACTTTTTTGAGAATTTTTTCTTTTTTTAAGATTTTATGTATTCATTGGAGATTGAGAACACAAGCAGGGGGAGAGGCAGGAGGAGAAGCAGACTCCCCGCTGAGCTGGGAGCCTAACATGGGGCTCGATCCCAGGACCTGCAGATCATGACCCCAGCAGAAAGCAGAAGCTCAAACATCTGAGCTACCCAGGTGCCCACTGTTAAGGATTTTTATCAGGAAAAGATGCTATATTTTGTCAAATGCTTTCTCTGCGTCTACTGACAGGATCATATAGTTATCTTTTCTTTTATTAATATCGTGTATCACACTGATTGACTTACAAATACTGAACCACCCCTGAAACCCAGGAATAAATCCTACTTCAATGTGGTGACTAACTCTTTTAATGTACTGTTGAATTTGATTTGCTAGTATTTTATTGAGAACTTCTGCATCCATGTTCATCAGGGATATTCGCCTATAATTCTCCTTTTTAGTGGGGTCTTTGGTTTTGGAATCAAGGTAATGCTGGCTTTGTAGAACGTGAAGTTCTCACTTCATGTAGTGTAACAAGATCCCTCAATTTTTTTTCTTCCCTTTTTTTTTTTTTTAGATTTTATTTACTTATTTGAGAGAGAGGGAGAGCACAGAGGGAGAGTGAGAGGGAGAAGAGCCTCTCTGCTGAGCAGAGAGCCCGACATGGGACTTGATCCCAGGACTCCCGGATCATGACCTGAGCCAAAGGCAGACGCTTAACTGGCTGAGCCACCCAGGCATCCCAGATCCCTAAATTTTTATTAACTTGGCTCCTAAATTTTAAGCATAAAACATTGAAAAGTAACTAGTCCCATGTGGTTATTTTGCCCTCTGGATTTCTTGTATGGCAAAATTCTCTGTATTGATCGATACAGTCCCATTTATTTTTAATTTCAAAATAGCAAACTGGCCAGTAAGACTCAACTGTCAGGTCAATGCTGGCAAGCTGCCACCATGCTATTTATACTACTGAGGAATCGATTAAAGAATACTGCCCTAGGAAAAAGGGAGCTGAATACAAATTAATTTTAAGGTAGATCCTCTACATGAACTGATTCCCACCTTGATGATAATGAACTGTCACCCCAGAGGCAAACATAAACCACTTTAAAAGTTTGGTATTTACTTTAACTAGCTCTTGCTCATACTGACGTACAACAGCGACAAGGCCTGAAGCAGATAATCTCAGCATCCCACCTTGATTTGCTATGACTTCGCTCATTCCACTGCCTGTGACTGTTTGCAGGAAAGCAAAGTAACTCCTTCGTAACATTTGCTTCTCTAAAGCAGCAGACTGGTCATTTTCTTCTGCTGGTCGGAGCAATACCTCAAAAATTGCATGAAGTAGAGGCATGAACATTTGCTGTAAAAATGGAGATACCTGTATCTGAAGATAAAAAACAAATTACTATTTCAGAAATGTGAAAGATAAATATTAATATGAAAATTAGAAAACCACATTTTACATAAAGCCTTTATCCAGTGTTTCTAGTTAGGATATATATTTACATAATTCTGTTGGCAAATATCAATATTATGACAAAAATCTGTATATGCATATATATTATTGAAATCTTCAAAATTGTTAAGTTCAACTCATTTCTTACGGTTCAAGATTCAGGTTAAAATAATAGGGATTCAGATGTATTTCACAATTGAATATCACCATAGAATATTTTCAAATTTAAATTATCAACAAATGAATTCTATTGCTAAATTACAAGTAGAATTTATATGATTGGGCTCTGAAGGCTTTTTGTGCCTCGATGCAAATTGCTTAATTTCTCGGTCTCAATTTCTTCGTCTATAAAATACAACAGTTCTCTCTAGGGCTGTTAGGAAGATCAAATGAATTAATGTACAAAAAAAGGCTTAGAATGGATTTTGAACAGAAAGCACTATGCGTTAGCCATTTTTATCAGCCAGGTTATACTTGGTTTACATTTTCTTGTACAATAAAACTGACTTTAGTACACTGAATGAATTTCAAACTCCTGTTTGGGCACCCAAGTTACAAGTTTTTATTCACCTCAAGATATTTTAGTCCTCGATGCTATTTTCATTTGCTTTTCTAAAAGAGCAGACTGTTTTCTTCTGCACAGGGCAGATAAGGTTTGTTTTGATTAAAACAACCATTCAACATGGCCTATGTGTCAGGCAGTGTGCTAGACACTGGAGAGGACAACAATATATATGCTCCATGTCCTCAAGTGACTTAGATTAAGAAAAAAAAAAAACCCCAAGGGCAAATGCCAAAATGTATCTAAAGATCAATAGATCTAATTTGTCAGGAGATTCTCTGAGCCCATAGGTCTGTGGTACCTTAAATTTGGCTGTAATCTGGTTGATAAGAGGAATGAACTCCTGGAGGTCTTTTCCTTCACAATCTTTGAGCATGTGTTCTGAGGCAGATGGGATGAATGGAAGAACTTCTTCCTCTAGGCAAATAATCATGCGATGAAGGAAAGTACGAACTCCACTTCTGAGAATATCCTTTTGCAAGGGACAACTGAGGGCTGGCAAGAACGTCTGTAAACAATCCAGATAAACTTCGGAACAGCCACACTGTTTCACAGTCTGCTTGTTGCTGAAAGCTTTGCTGGTTCGGCTACACAAGCAAAATCAGGCAACTAGTTTTAACTTTAGGCTTTAATAAAAGTTTTATGGAGTAATGAAAAATAATGCACAACCAATTACACAATCGACAAAACTAAGAAGCCAATTATTTAGTTTCTATGACATGCCTGCTTCCATTCGCTAACATGGTTATCTATATACTATTGCTTCCAGGTGCCATTCCAGAAGGGGTTCAAATTAAATGAGTGAGAGGTAATTAATATAAGCCTTCTAATGAGAACCCACCTAAATGTTTTACTAAAATCCTACTGATGAAGTATGCAGAAAAGAGAAAAAAAAATCCACTGCTACGACTGGGCTGTACTAGATAACCTGCAAACACTACTGATTTAAATTTAGAAAAAATCCTTAGAATCAAGTTATTTATATGACCTAACATTAGCTTTTGCACTGAAGTATTCTGTACAGCAATTTCTTTGTGCAGCTTCTTATTAGCAATTACTACAACTTTCATACTGTTGTCGTTTGCCAATAAAATGTACGGGCAGAGAGAAAGAAACGGCAGCTTGGGTAGTCTTCAGGACACAATGAGAGAGCTAAAAAGAAGCCTCAAGACTTTATCAGTACCAAGACTGAGCCAAGATGTCCCAATATGTCATTGTTTATATAAACCCTCCAGCTAGGGACGCCTGAGTGGCTCAGTTGGTTAAGCAGCTGCCTTTGGCTCAGGTCATGATCCCAGAGTCCTGGGACTGAGCCCCACGTCAGGCTCCTTGCTCAGCGGGGAGCCTGCTTCTCCCTCTGCCTGCCGCTCCCCCTGCTTGTGCTCTCTTTCTCTCTCTCTGACAAATAAATACAATCTTTTGAAAAAAAAAACAAAACAACTTTTCAGCTAATCCCCCTAAATACATGATCAATTTATACTAAAGAAGTCAGAAGAGTTAAGGATTTAGACAGTTGTCAAACCAGAAATGCAGAATATTATGTGATCTATTCCCTTCTTCAGCTAAATCTTCTAATTCACTGGATTTAGAGCTTGTTTGGAGGTTCTAGCAGGGGAGCACAGCTACTCGTATACCCTTGACCGAAGAACAGTCCTCTCCTCTATCGGGGAAGGTCGTCCTCTTCAACCGAGCACACAGCTTCAGGAGGGATGCACATGGAGTGGTGAGGGAGGAAGGGGAAACCTGCCTAGCCAGCCAGATCAGCCTAATCAACCCTGGCGATCAATGGGGTGACAGATGTCGCAGCCAGATCGCCCTCACATCCTAATTCACTGGATTTAGAAAAGAAAGGTTTAGATAATTCTCTCGACAATTCAGTTTTCAAAACATGGATGTGTGTGCCTAATTCTAAAAGATCCAAGTAAATGGTTGTGTGTGTGTACAGACACTCAATTTATAATTTTAATTATAATCACACTCACCTGGCAAATCCAACAGCATGGTTCAGACAGTCTGCTAGTGATGCCTGTCTTTCTTCATCTTGTGCCAGCATCAATTTTTCTAACAGAATTTTAAACTTCTCCATTAGTGGGGTCAAAAGATTTCTCATTAAGGCTTGTTTCCGTTCAGCTGGATATTCACTATTAACAATCAGCACTCCGGCTGTCTCATAAATAAACAGCTGATCATCACTGCTCAACAAAGACTGGTAACCATTCTCCTAGAAAGAAATTTAGTCCTATTGGTGTTTATCACTGTTCATTCAGTTCCTCTCATTTAAGCACAGTAAGTCCAATAGGACTAGGAGATATAATCACATCAACGCATTATTAAAAAGTAGATCAAGTACTTATAAAAAACAAATTTTCTCCTAGGACCACATAATGGAAAGAAAACTGAATTCGAGATCAAAAGGTCATGGGTCTAATTCTTTTTTTTTAAGATTTTATTTATTTATTTAACAGAGACAGACACAGCGAGAGAGGGACACAAGCAGGGGGAGTGGGAGAGGGAGAAGCAGGCTTCCCGCCGAGCAGGGAGCCTGATGCGGGGCTCGATCCCAGGACCCTGGGATCATGACCTGAGCCAAAGGCAGACGCTTAACGACTGAGCCACCCAGGTGCCCATCATGGCTCTAATTCTACCCTTGATAAAACTTTGCAAATTATCATAGAAAATTTTAGTTAGCCTTCTAACTTGTTCTTGCTATCGTTTTTTAAAGACTGTATTTATTTGAGAGAGAGAATGAGAGAGAGAGCATGAGAGGGGGGAGGGTCAGAGGGAGAAGCAGACTCCCCGCTGTGCAGGGAGCCCAATGTGGGACTCGATCCTGGGACTCCAGGATCATGACCTGAGCCGAAGGCAGTTGCTCAACCAACTTAGCCACCTAGGCGCCCCTAACTTCTTCTCTTTTGTAAAAATCTTATTTGTAAAACTGTTATGAGACTAAAAATGAGATGTACAAAGGTGCTTTGAGGGGTGCCTGGGTGGCTCAGTCGGTTAAGCGTCTGCCTTTGGCTCAGGTCATGATCCCAGGATCCTGGGATCAAGTCCCACATAAGGCTGCTTGCTTGGTGGGGAGCCTGCTTCTGTCTGCCACTCCCCTTGCTCATGCTGTCTCAAATGAATAAAATCTTATAAAAAAAAAAATCTAGACTTACAACATAAATTATGTGGTGATTTTATATAATGAATACCTCATCTAGGGGCACCTGGGTGGCTCAGTTAGTTGAGCATCTGACTCTTGATTTAGGCTCTGGTCATGATCTCAGGGTTGTGGGATCGAGCCCTGCATCAGGATCTGCACTTGGCAGGGAGTCTGCTTGAGATACTCTCCCTCTTCCCCCAACTGTCTCTCTCTAAAATAAATAAATCTTTAAAAAAAAATCCTCATTAAAAGAAGCATATCCCTATATAAAAGTAGCTAAAGCATTTAAGTACCACTAAGACTAATTACTGCTGTATCAGTTGAGAACACAAAGATAAAGTAGCTATATAAGGAACTTAAAAAATGGATACTCAAAATCCTATTAAGCAGACATCATCAGGTAAAAGCAATTTGAACAAAGCCTTTTTTTTAATACTAAAAAGAGATTACAGGTATAGTACAAGCCCTTGTTTATATGAATGGTATAAAAAACATGAAAAACTTCTAATATTGCTAAGATAATATGGCTAAATAGTACTTTTCCTTTTTTTAAAAAATATTTTATTTATTTATTTGAGAGAGAATGAGAGAGAGAGAGAGAGAGCATGAGATGGGGGAGGGTCAGAAGGAGAAGCAGACTCCCTGCTGAGCAGGGAGTCCGATGCGGGACTCGATCCTGGGACTCCAGGATCATGACCTGAGCCAAAGGCAGTCGCTTAACCAACTGAGCCACCCAGGCACCCAGTACTTTTCCTTTTTAAGTAGGCTCCATGCCAGCGTGGAGCCCAACACGGGGCTTGAACTCACAACGCTGTGATCAAGACCTGAGCTGAGATCGAGTCAGATGCTTAATGGACTGAGCCACCCAGGTGCATGAGGACTTTCTGAATGCCTAAGTCTTATAGGTCAGTGTGAACTGCCAGGGAAAATTGGCATTAATCAGATGGAATACTTTAATATATAGATTTTTGTAATATGCAAAAACAATTTAACCATATAATTCATTAGTAATCTTTCATGCAGTGAAATTATGTAACCACTATACTCTAAATACTAATATTTACTTAAAAGAATAAAAGTATTTTTGTGTTTTAACATTTCTCAAGTGGCTGCTCTAGTAGCAATTTTATCAAAATGAAAAAAATGAGTCAATGTCAGTATACAAAAACATGTAGAAGTTAAAACAAGTTACAAAGTATCTCAACTTAAATATTTCTTGTGAAATGAATACCAAAATATCAACCAGCATTTAACCTTTACCCAAAGCCTTAAATTACCCCCCAAAATCAGTCTAATGGTAGCAGTCACTTAGAATGGCTAATATGATCTTATACTAAACAGGAAGTAATTTAGAAATTGAATTTTTCCTTCTCCATACACTACTTCAGCATTTAACAGGGAGAGCAGACCATATCTCACTCTGCCAAATTTATCAGTCAACTCCTTTCCATTTTTATTTTTTTTACAATTTATTTATTTATTTGGGGGGGGGGACAGAGGGAGAGGGAGAGAGAAACTCACGCAAACTCTGCGCTGAGTGAAGAGCCTGATGGGGGGCTTGATTCCACAAACCTGAGATTATGACCCAAGCAGAAAAAACACTTAACTGACTGTGCCACCCAGGCACCCCTCCATTTTTATTAATTCTATTACCATGCTTTGTTTGCTAATCGCAACAGAATTTTGGTAAACAGAACTAACTAATCCTTGTATACAACATCCCTGCCACCACCATCCACCATTAAGAAAACTGCCCACAAGGCATTAGCATTAAAGGCTAAAGGCATGTGTGGCATCAATGATACTTGGGGAAAATCTGTAATTTGGAAAGACAGATACTTACAGGTGGAGAAAGCTCTAGTAAATCTTGTATTCTATTCAGAATATCCTCAATAAAAGGATTCATTTGTTTACTGAAAAAAGGCAAAAAAGGAAAATCACAATTATGTAAACCACCGTGCTCAAAATACCAAATTTCCTTTTAAAAAGGATGGAACTAAAAACAGGTTCAATTCTAACCTAGTCAGATGTAATCATTAAGACAAGCTAGGATTTTAAAAAATTACAACCTTATAAGCCTAAAAACAAGTAGTTTTCATGCCAAGAAAATGGTACTAGTAAAAACAATACAAAGCAGAAAGGTCAAAAAATTTATTTCCAAGAAATATATTCTTTAGAATTTCAAAGAAGCCATAGAGTAATCCACAGCAATAAAACTGTTAGTTAAATAATTATGTCATTAGCGATGACAAGTATTACATATAAAAGTATGCAAACAAATCACTTTGCAGTGATGAACCTGGCTAATGAACAGTAAAAGAAGTCATAACATGATACCAAAAAAGAAAACCTAATAAAGAGCCTTAGAATAAACCAAATCTACCACAGGCTTTTAGAAAATAATTTATAGGGCTCATTTAACAATCTTAGAAACAAAAAGTAAACATAAGAGTTGACATTTAGTACTTACTTCAGAGATTTGACAAATCTGGAAAACAGGTAAGCAGTTCTGCTCCGTACTTTTGCACTAGAATGCCGCAGACCCCTATGATCTAAGAAAGCCATCTAAAGAAACAGAGACACTTACTATTTCTGCATTTGTTTAAAATTTTTATTGGTATTGTCATAATATATTTTTGTTCCCATCAAATTTTACTTCTTAGCTCCTGGATGGCAGGAGCCAGGAATATATATTAAGTAATCCTTAAGGACACCAATAGGCCCTTGAGGACTTGTTTTAGATGACTGATTAAGCCAGAAACTGTCCATTTTAAAAAAATAGAGAAGGGGTTGGTTTCAGTATATTCAAGAGTTTCTGAGAGGGCGCCTGAGTGGCTCAGTTGGTTAAGCGACTGCCTTCGGCTCAGGTCATGATCCTGGAGTCCCGGGATCGAGTCCCGCATCGGACTCCCTGCTCAGCAGGGAGTCTGCTTCTCCCTCAGACCCTCCCCCCTCTCATGCTCTCTATCTCATTCTCTCTCAAATAAATAAATACCTTTAAAAAAGAGTTTCTGAGAGCTTTTGGTTCTGGAAAAAGTTATAAAGACAGAATCCTATCTGCTCATTAGGTGAAATACATAGAAATCCACCCCCCCCACCAGAAACGGAGAATAAATGGATACTTACTAGTACACATGGAATGTGTTGAGGTTCAACTGTGAAAAACTTTTCATATCTAACAACAGTTTCGAAGAACTCCAATGTCACAGATGTATGCTGATAGGAACTAACTCCTGATGTTACCAACTGGGCAGGAAAAAGTTAAGAAATGTCCTTATTCATTGTAACATCAAAATGGCCCAGTATTAACAGATGCTAAATTAAGGAACTCCCACTAGCTTATAGTGAAAACAGAAAATTATGTTCAAAATAAATTATCTGTAGTATACTTACAGTTCGCATCATATCCTGCAAAGCACTAGCTTTTGAAACATCACCTGAGAAGTGAGCACCATGAGATACTGGAAGAGCTTCTGCCAACATATACAGCAATCTTATTGCTACTTCAACTTCCATAAAACGTGTAGTCTGCCAATTCCTAACCAAAAGGGAATATGTATGTGAGATCTGAATATAAACATTTTATATAACACCAACAAAAGCCTCTTTAATTATTAAGTCATAGCAATTATTGGGGCTCCTGGGTGGCTCAGTTGTTAAGCGCCTGCCCTCGGCTCAGGTCATGGTCCCAGGGTCCTGGGACTGAGCCCCGCATCGGGCTCCCTGCTTGGTAGGAAGCCTGCTTCTCCCTCTCCCACTCCCCCTGCGTGTGTTCCCTCTCTCACTGTGTCTCTCTCTGTTAAATAAATAAAATCTTAAAAAAAAAAAAGTCATAGCAATTTTTAAACAGGCAACAAAATTTACACCACAAAAGCAGAAATAACTGATGTGATCCATTTCATTGTTTACATTCCAAAGAGCAGTGTTTCCCCACAAGGATCATGATAAATGGAGATAACAATGATAATGGATGGAGCTATAGTGTATTATGCTAAAGGAAACAAGCCAGTCAGAGAAACAAATACCCTATGATTTCACTCATATATGGAATTTAAGAAACATAACAAATGAACCAAGAGGAAAAAGAGACAAACCAAAACACAGACTCTTAACAATAGAGAACAGATGGTTACCATAGGGGAGGTGAGTGAAACAGATGAGGGGGATTAAGAGTACACTTATCATGATGAGCAATCAACATTGTATAGAATTGTTGAATCACTATAATGTACACCTGAAACTAACATAACACTATGTTAACTACACTGGAATTAAAAGATAAATGGAGACAACTGCACTGCTTCAGAGATACATAAAATCTTAATAAGTAACAAAGATAGTAAATTATGTGAATCATTTATTGTAGAACATCAACACAGAGAAAAGGAAAGAGGCAGATTCGTTACAAAAACAGTAACAAACTTACTGCAGTGTAGAACTAAAAACTCTGCGCACAGAAGCCAGCAGTAACTCTGGTGAAACTTGAGCAAGCCTGTCCAACAATAACTTCAGTTGTTTTCTATATTCTACAAACATGGCTTCATCTTCACCCTAAGATATATTTTAAAATTCTTATTTTAAAATTTAAAAGACCTTAAAATTCATGTAAATGGTTAGTTTTCTGCATTTCTAAAGTTAATACGTAATTTTTTCATTAACATTTATTTACACAGAAAAACTTACTATGTTTAGTAGCCTTTCCTCTCCTGCCCACAAATAAGCATTTATGAACACAGCCCTACATCTCAAAAAGCCTAGAGCCAGAAACAGTATAGGGAGGAGGTTAAGGACAAGAATCTAGAGCCAGAATGGGTTCACGTTGGGCTTTATGAAAACTTCACCACCTTATTCATACTCCTCGTATCTTGTAATACCCTATGAATGAAGATACATATAACAAGCCTGGCTCTTTGTAAGTGCATAATGCGTTGGTTTTCATCACATTTTCTTTTTACAGTCAAAAGTTTTTGAATGCCTCAGGTGGGGAATTGAACACTTAGCACGTTGCAAAACAATGTAAGCAATGCTTGAGTTGATAGAAAGCACCTGATGATCCTTGTGCTTGAGGGTAAACTGACTCACTGGCAACCCTGGATAAGACTTATAAATGGAACAAGTCCAGAGAGTTAAGTGACCCATTCCCACTCTCCCACAGACACTTATGATCTAAGGTCCACCGACCAGGCCTCAACTCATCACTCTTATTAAATACAAAGTGAGATATGATCACCAATGATACTGCCAATATTTTACAAAGTTCAATGCTACAAAGTGTTTTAAAAAGGGCCAAGATACCAAAAAAGTATTTTTTGAAGGTATTATGAAGGCTTATGAAGCTTCTATTAATTTCACCTAAGGCTGAGGTCAATGATAAACAAGAGTGATTGTTAAAATACTTGTTTTAAAGGACTCTAAAATAATCAAAACTTAAAATGTTAACTTGAGGTAAGTAAATAATGAATTAAAACTGATTTCTCCCTAATGTAAAATTCTTACCTCATTTTCAAAGTTATATTCTTACCTCATTTTCAAAGTTATATTCTTCATCATAAGTCAGTTTTTTCATAACGGCCAACATGATTGCCTAAAATTAAGAATAAAATGTCTTTTGTCAGTTTCCTCTAACTTGATATACTTTGAAATTAAGCTGTATTTCAAAAGACAGGCTGCAGATACAGATTCTGGTATTGGTTTATAGGCAAAAAGAAGTCAATTACCTCTACGTTAGCTTTTTGCTGATCCGAGAGCACTGGAAGCTGTTAAAAAGTAAGCAATAATTTATTAATTTTCCTAAAGTTATACTCGCTTATCAAAATATTTTTCTTTTCTAAGATTTTATTTATGTATTTGAGAGGGAGCATGAGCAGGGTAGGGGGTGGGATAAGAGAGGGAAGCAGACTCTCCACTGAGCAGAGAGCCTGACAGAGGGCTCAATCCCAAGACCCCAAGATCATGAACTGAGCCCAAGGCAGACTCTTAACTATGTGAGCCACTGAGGCGCCCCTCAAAATATTTTTCTAATCAATGAAGATCTTTTAAAACATGCACACAACTTCTGTGGAGGAAGGTTTGGCAGTACCTTTCTATATTTCAAATGCACCTAATCTAAGATCTAGCAATTTCATTTCTACTAAATAACGTGACATGTAGATGAACTTCAACTTTAAGGATATTTATAATATATTCACCAAAGAAGTTTATAGGACAGTAAAGTACGGTCTTCCCTTTTCAGTTTTTTTTTTTTTTTTAAGATTTATTTTTTTTGTGAGAGAGACAGAGTGAGCAAGCATGAGTGGCAGGTAGAAGGAGAGGGAGAAGCAGACTTCCTACCAAGCAGAGCTTGGGATCATGACCTGAGCTGAAGACAGACGCTTAACCGACTGAGCCATCCAGGCGCCCTTCCCTTGTTTTCAAACAAGGCAAAAAAAGCTAGAGGTCTGTTAAGAGATACACAGTGGGATTACCAGGAGTCATTTTAACTTTCCTCGTATCTTTCCCATTACCTAAAATTTCTTAAGGTATGTAGGTAGACGTGTGTTACATTTATAACAATAACACAGAAGTTAATATTTTAAGCTTGACTTGATTTAACTAATCAAATGTAAGTAAAATAGGAATGGTTTTCTCATCTAATGACATAATGGGAAATTACTGATTTTTAAAAGGCTACCAGTCATAATATGGAGACTGCTACCATCTACATTTTAAGTTCTTATTGGAAGCAACTCTCTAAGAGAAAATTTTTAATTGTAAAAAACTGTTTATACGAAATGATGTATATGTAATTAAAATAATGAACAATGTTTAACGAAATTTCTACTATATTTAAAACAAACACAGGGGCGCCTGGGTGGCTCAGTTGGTCAGTGTCCAACTCTTGATCTCTGGGTCGTGAGTTCAAGGCCTGCACTGGGCTCCACGCTGGGTGTGGAGCCTAGCATGGAGCCTACTTGATAAAAAAAGGAAAAGAAAAGGAAAGGAAAGAAAAAATAAATAAAAACAAACAGATTCAAAATGAAAAAATAACCTAAACCTGTAGCTAATTCAAAGCTTGTTAAAGTCTAGTGAATTTTAGAACCTGGCTATTCCCATTTTCTGGCTAAGAAGTTGAGTTGGGGGTGGGGGAAATTTTGTTAGCTAGTAGAATTATGGGTATTTCCTTCTTTTCATTTTTCCTCTATTTTCCAATTCTCTATGGTTCGTCTATATTATCTACTGGGCAAAAAGATTAAAATAAGGACTTACCTGTTTCAAAATATGAAGATAATCATAACAGAATCCAATAATGTTAGAAGAGATGTCATCATCCTCATGAATTAGTAGCTGCAGCATCAGTGCCACTTTTGTTTCAATAGCTTGTAGTGACTCTTGAGCATTCTTGATATCCCCATTCTTAATTAATTTAGTCCAACTAACTATCAATGACTGTCCCATTCCATTTACCAGCTTAGAAAATCTGGCTAGAAAGTCAACATCTTCTTCCTATTAAGCAATCAAAAGAGACCTCAATTTAAAAACACCCACATAAACAAGAACAAAAAAAACTACCCACATAAGAGTAAGAAGAAAAACTCTAAACTTTAGTATGAATCAAGTGCCAGTTATAAACTAACATTTAACCATTCTACCATCTTGACTGAATAATTTTGGAATTTGAATTCTATTATTAACCACTTGTACTCTTTCAAGCAACTCTTTTTAATGGTTATAGACCCGGAGATATTGCCAAGTTTATAAAAGCTTAAAAAAAGAGATCTGTGGTTTCAAAACCTTCCTTCTAAACTGCTCAAGTTAGTAAATATGCTGTAATCGTTAATGTCATAATACAGTATGTGTAACAATTTATAACAATTTGAGCCTTAACTATGCTGCAAGAGATAGAACTGCTATTACAACTACCTGCCTAAGGTCATACCAGTGTTAAGAGTCAGAACTCAAAGTTCAGATTGTTTTCATTAATTATCCTTATGATGTTCTCCTATAGAAAGAGATGTTACCTTCATCATTTTAGGTCTTTTACCACAGACTAAATAAGACAATTATTAGCATCGTAAGAAAACGCTACTATTCTCCTGTCAGCAAGGACAATTCTAGAGCTGTATTACTCACAGAAGAGCAAAACAAATATTTCTTAGTAATTTTTTTATCACTGTCACAGGTAAAATAAAAATCTTCAAATTCTGTTTCTAAATTACTTATCACACTTCACTCTGTTGGGGCTAAACTCCAACAGCTCAAATGAGTAACAATTCAAAAGTATGGTGAAAATGTAACATTTATAACTAAAACTAGTTTTGGTCAAAATGCACTGCCGTGTATATAGTATAGTTCCTTGCTACTTAAAGTATAGACCAGTAGTATGAGAATCAACTTGAAGTTTGTTAGAAATGCACAACTGCAGGTACTATCCTAGATCTTCAAGTTAATAACTGGTATAATCTACTGTCGAGGACAATGCTACAGATAACATTGTGGCTTTCTGGATACAATGTTTCCTTATAGTCGAGGAGAGTTTACAATCCAAAAAAAAAAAAAAAAGAGAAAGAAAAAGAAAGCATATTTAAATTAGTACTCGTCCTACTTTGTTCTACTTCATACATAAATTTACTGACCTGGTCAATGCTGAAAAACCCAGCAGACTGTAATACTTGACACAAAGACTCTACTAGTTTCATTTTATCAACAGGATCCATTCCTTTATTTACAATTTCAAATAAACAGTCACATGCTTCCTCCCGCAGAACTTCTATTGACATATGACCTAGCAGCATATTTATAAACCTGGCAATAGGAGGAAAAAATTGTTACAACGTTTTCAAACTCATGAGTTTTATATATTGTATTTTGTAGGTTTCTATCTTTAAAGTATAGGTATACTTACCTATCATTGGCTATAAGGGATAAGTCTATCCAAGAGACATAAGCCCCAACTACTTCAAGGCACTGACATGTCACTTCTGAATTAGTATACTGGTAATTTTGTAAAATTTGGTACCATGATTCCACCAAGTTTGGAATGCACTGCTCCCTCATGGTATCTTTTATTAGAGTATTCCTACGGGCCTCCTAAAAAACAAAACACCTTATGTGCAAAGTAGATTATCACACAAACTAATTTTTGACATCTGACTAGTTGCACACAGTAATTTCCTCACAATTAAACTTCTAGACTTGTTAACACATTCCCTACTTATCAACTCTAAAATCATATCCTGTGATTATTTTAATTTCCTTTTTCTATTGTATTCCTCAGAGCAGATTGAATTTGTTATTAAACACAAACTATAAATAAGCATTATTTAGAAATCTAAGGCATATGATAAAAGGTACTTCTCAATATTATGCAAACATATTTAAACTACTTAAGAGAATGTAAATTGTTTTTAATTAAAGGAAAATTTTTTTGAGTATAGTTGACACAAGATGTTAGTTTCAGGTGTACCACACAGTGAATCAATACCTCTATAAATTCTGCCAAGAATGGCAATAATTTATTTTTTTATTTTTTCAATTTTTTAAAAAGATTTTAAGTAATCGCTACATCCAACATGGGGCTCAAACTCACAACTCTGAGATCAAGAGTCACATGCTCCGCTGACTGAGCCAGCTGGGTGCCCCAAGAATGGCAATAATTTTTTTGGGGGGGGGGAGCAAGAGGGAGAGAGAAAGAAAATCTTTAAAAAAAATTTTATTTATTTGAGAGAAAGAAAGAGAGAATACATGTAAGCGGGGGGGAGGAGCAGAGGGAGAAACAGACTACCCCCTGAGCAGGGAGCCTGACACAGGGCTTGATCCCAGGACTCTGGGATCATGACCTGAGCTAAAGGCAGATGCTTAACTGACTGAGCCACCCAGGCACCCTGAGAGAGACTCTTAAGCAGGCTCCACGCCTGGAGCAGAGCCCAACACAGGGCTCGATCTCATGACCCTGAAATCATGACCTGAGCTGAAATCAAGAGTTCAATGCTTAACCAACTGAGCCAGCCAGGCACCCCAGGAATGGTAATAATTTAAATGCATGATAATAACCTTTAAAGTGATAAATATATCTGACATACAATGACCTTAAATTATTATACACATTTGAAACAAGCAATTTCTTTTATCTTTTTTTTCTTTTTCGAATCAAGTAACTTCTATTGTGTTAAGAATACAGAGAAAGTTGTATCGGATAATGAATAAAGACTAAGGTGATGGGCTTTATGACTGAGAATACAGAAGAAACTAGCAGATTCATAAGCAATGATTCCTGCTCACTCAGGAACTGTATAGCAGTAGTAAAAACAGACCACATTTCTCCAGAAATTTGTAAAACAGAACCAATTTGTCTATTTTATTGGAGAAAGTGCTTTCATAGTTAAAAAAAATCTAAAGTAACACTCTAATTTCAACATACACTTGGGGAAAAAGAAGCCCAGTTCAAGCTCCTTTGTAGAACAAAATGCAAAATGTTGGGTGAATTTAGAGGCGCCTGGCTGGCTCAGTTGGTAAAACATGTGACTCTTGATCTCAGGGTCATGAGTTCAAGCCTCACAATGGGTGTGGAGCCTGCTTAAAAAAAAAAAAAGTAAGTTGGGTGAATTTAGAATTCCTTTTTTTTAAGATTCTGCTTGACAGAGAGAGAGAGAGAGAGAGAGAGAGAGAGAGAGAGAGAGAGAATGAATGCACAAGCAGGCAGAGGAAGAAGCAGGCTCCCCGCTGAGCAGAAAGCCCGATGCAGGGCTCAATCCCAGGACCCTGGGATCACGACCTGAGTCGAAGGCAGACGCTTAATCGACTGAGCCTCCCAGGTGCCCCTGAATTTAGAATTATTAAGAAAATTTGAGGGTGCCTGGCTGGCTTAGTTGGAAGAGCATGCGACTCTTGATCTTGGGGTTGTAAGTATGAGCCTCATGCTGGGTATAGAGATTACTAAAAAAATAAACCTAAAAAAAAGCCAGAAAGAACAGAAAATCTGTCTCCAAAGACTTCCTACTCTTTTTATTATGTGCCCATCATCTCCTACAAAATCTACATTAAAAACTAACAATTAATGGGAAGTTACTTGCCTCTGATGTATGCACCACATCACGATCCACCAACTCTGAATCAATAGCCATGAGGATTCGGAGGTACAGATCTACTCCCCTTGGATTTAGGTCCACTACTGAGAGAATATCAAAAAAAAACTTGGGCCACCTAGTGAGATATTCTGTAACAAAAAGCAATGCGAAGACTTGGGCTGCTTTATTTCGTATAAAGGTCTTCTCTGGTTGGGGATTCAGCATCTGACAAAGAGAAATTGTCCATGAAATTAAATGTAAGTTGGAAACTGTCTTCCTATTTACCATCAATAGGCAAAAAACTCATCAAGCCTCAACACGGTCTAGATTAGCTGTGCAACAAATATACGGGAATATTACCGAAGTATTTAACTGATTACCCAGATGGAAAACAAACAAAAGTGCTGTTTATTTCTTATTCTTACACTTTTAAAGAAAAGTTTCATGTACAGAATTTTACTAGTTTTTGGTTCTACTAAATTGTTTTTCTTGTTAGCCCTTTAAGGAAAATAAAAATTCTAGCTACATAACCACTTTATATGTTAAGATTAAAATTAACAAAAAACAACATAATGTGAATAAAGAACTCTAATAGCTCTCTTGTAAAGGGCTCTTTGTGAAGAGGCTGTCCAGGAGGGTTCACCTTTAGGAGTGAACAAAAATCTGTTTTTGTCAAATAGCTAAAAACAAACAAAAACCACTACCACCACCACCAACAAAAACCCCACCTTAAAACCGAGGTTTCAACAATGTGTCATGGAAAGCATGAAAGTTTCAGTTATTGATATGATTTTAAATTATTGGTAAGTTTTCATATACCCAAGATTTTTGAAATCAGCACTTTCTAAAAAAGCTATGGGATCAAAGGGAGGATAAATCATCAACATTTTCGAGGTAAAGTTCTAAACTCTTACAAAACTAAAGATTTAAATATCTGGTAATTTAAGGTACTGAATGAAATTACTATTTTACCTGAGCTTGAAGCCAAGATATGAGCGTCTCCCTAATTAGTTGTTGTTGAACAGTAGTTAGTTCTGAGTATCTGTTCAAAATAGAGAAGAAAAATAATAACGGCTACATTTGGTGTCTGTGGTTTAAAAAGTAACAGCCTCATATTTTTGAAAGGGAAAATTTGTGTTATCACTCAATTGCTTAAAATTTCCTAAAATAAATCGATAATGCTTCTCATCATGGCTTTAAAGAAAAGGTAGGGGTGGGCCTGGCAGGTAGTGTCATTGATCTTAGTTTGATTTGTGGTTCAGTTCATGCTAAAACAAAATGACAGCTGTGGAATTTCTCAAATGGAAATATGTCTACATTTTGAGGTCTGTGGCTTACAGAATAAATCAATAGGCAAACAAAGGGTCCTCTGAGCAGTGATTCACTGTTTCTGCTTATTTAAGGCAGGGGTTCTAAATCCGAGTGGCCCTGCTGCCACTAACCTCTAACAGAGTTGGCATGTAGAAACAGGTCTGGTGTTGCTAGATCTTCAGATTTTTCCAGAGAAGCGAGAAATGAATTTTTTCTGTGAAATATCCGGATTTTTTATGTAACCAATTAACTCAGTATTTTTACACTTTGGGATAAATCAAAAACACATCTATAAGCTGGATGTGTCTCATACACTCTCAATTTACAGCTTGTATTATGATTTTCCCAAAGAGAAAAACTAATTTAAAAAACGACCTCTCCCCATAAATTTCAGAGTCAAAACAGTGAGAAAAGCCTTACTTGTATTTAACTTGATGTTCTAGTACTTGAAAGCAGAAAAACTTTATGTGATCATCACTGAAAAAGAAAAGAGGAAAATCAGATAAGCAGAATATAATTTAGAGAAAACAAATCAAAAGTAAAGAAGTAAAGTACTAGGTGAATCACAGTTGAAAAGTTTCTCAAACAAGACCTCTGGCTTATTTTCTACTTATCGATCTCATTTATTATACTGTTTAGAACTTAAATATTACTCCACGCTCAATAGGTCCATTAAATCTGACAAGCAAAAAAATGAAAAAAATTGAGATGCACCCTAAGTATACTGCTTTGCAAAGAGAACGAATTTCCCTAAATTCTAGATGTTAGGATTACTGAAACCACTCCTACACTTTACAACAGAAAGGCTAGGTGTAAAATGACAAATGGTCACACAGCCAGAGACTAAGTCAAATCAGTGATGGTAACTGAAATCATACCTAAAATCCAATCCTACACAGTTCCATTGCAGCCAAATCCAAAATGAGCAGGGTCACTCAGACTGGTAGTTCAGCCTCAAAAGTTTATACAGAAAACCAAGTTACAAATACACTGCCCTTATAAGAAGGGAGCAAAAATCAGTTCTAACAATTATCCACTCTCAAGGTCTCTACAGGGGTGATGCAGAGTTGCAGTGAGCCAGCTACAATCTCTGACAAAATCTCTTTAGTAAACAACAATCTGTTCATCCAAGACAGTTGGTTTGGGCCAGGCTTAGTCATTGAAGAAATTTTTCATATATAAAGCTAACTGGTCAATATAAGAAGAGAAAATATCTTAACTTAGAATACATGAATTAATTAAACAAAATAATTTCACACAAAGATGAAATTTAATCTTTAAAAGTTTTGTTTAAGTTAGGTTTAATTAGCACCTCTTCCAAGAACTTAGGGTTCCTATTTTTTTTTTAAGATTTTATTTATTTGAGAGAGAGAATGAGAGAGAGAGAGCACATGAGAGGGGGGAGGGTCAGAGGGAGAAGCAGACTCCCTGCTGAGCAGGGAGCCTGATGCGGGACTTGATCCAGGGACTCGAGGATCATGACCTGAGCTGAAGGCAGTCGCTTAACCAACTGAGCCACCCAGGCACCCTGTAGGTCTTTTTTAAATAACTTAATTAACTACTATATAAACTAATGAAATGAGGGGCGCCTGGGTGGCTCAGCTGGTTAAGCGTCTGCCTTCGGCTCAGATTATGGTCCCAGGTTCCTAGAATCGAGCCCCACATCAGACTCCCTGCTCAGCGGGGAGCCTGCTTCTCCCTCTCCCTACTGCTCCCCCTACCTGTGCTCTCTCTCTCTGAATGCTTTAGAAAGACTTCATAGAAAGTTATATTACAAAAAAGAAAAACCTTAGAACACTAATTCAAAGGGATACACGCACCCCTATGTTTATAGCAGCATTATTTATAATAGCCAAGATACAGAAGCAGCCCAAGTGTCCATCAACTGATAAATGGCTAAAGATGTGGTATATATATACAATGGAATATTATTCAGCCATAAAAAGTGAAACCCTGACATCTGCAATGACATGGATGGAGCCAGAGTGTATAATGCTAAGTGAAATAAGTCAGTCAGAGAAAGACACCCTATGATTTCACTCATATGTGGAATTTAAGAAACAAAACAAACGAGCAAAGGGAAAAAAATGAGAGAGAGAGAGAGAAATCAAGAAACAGACTCTTAACCACAGAGTATAAACTGATGGTTACCAGAGGGGAAGTGGGTAGGGGGATGGGTTAAGTACATGATGGGGTTAAGTAAGGAGGACACTTGTTGTGATGAGCACAGGATGATGGTTGAATCACTATAATGTACACCTGGAACTAATATAACACTGGATATTAACTGGAATTAAAATAAAAAAATTTTTTAGGGGCGCCTGGGTGGCTCAGTCGTTAAGCGTCTGCCTTCAGCTCAGGTCATGGTCCCAGGCTCCTGGAATCGAGTCCCACATCGGGCTCCCTGCTCCGCGGGAAGCCTGCTTCTCCCTCTCCCACTCCCCCTGCTTGTGTTCCTGCTCTCACTATCTCTCTCTCTGTGTCAAATAAATAAATAAAATCTTTAAAAAATAAATAAAATAAAATAAATTTTTTAAAAAGGGAAAAACCTTGTGCATATTTGATGTGGGCTAGATAACCAGAAGACTTGGAGAGGTGGGAGAAAATAAGTAAAAGTCTAGGAATTTGCACTAATTGTTCCTCAACCCAGAGATCCAAAGTGGAACTTGTAGAGGATGGATCATGGGTGTGATCAATGTAAGAATGATGAAGTGAATGCTAGTGGAATATACATAAAGGAAAGACCTTGGTCCAATATAAAAAAACTGGCAACTGAATGTTTACATACTTTAAATTAAAAACAAAAAATATATACAATTCATGATTACTGACTTCGCCAACTTTTTAGAAAACCAACTATCACTTCCCATCATAAGAAATTTTTATTGTACTCTATTCCCGCTGGGATCTGCTGTCAGGTACACAGCCTAAGGTAAAGTCTAGTTTTATTGAAAAGTCAATCCTGGATGGCCAAATTACTAGATAATGTTTTTCCAAAACACAAGCCATAAATGTTTTTATGAAAACATTTTCCAAATACAGGTCCCACAGAAATTTAAATTCCTCTAAGTCATGCAAATTTTGTTTTATAATTACCTGTATGTCCTCTGGGCTAGAGCTTCTGCACACACTTGCCAGGCATCTGGGGAAATCTTTAACTGCTCAAAATAGGCCAGGGCCTGTAAGATTGCAAAGCCATAAATGCATTTGGAATAGTCGATCTCAGTGCCCAACTGATATTAAAATATTCTAGGAGTAGCAAACCAATAACAGATCAGTCAACCTGAAGAAAAATAGCTAAAACACTGAATTCTGGCCTCTGAGTAAGTGCAACTACTGATCGTTCCTAGAAAAAAGGTTAAGTAAAAAACAAATTCCATCAGTTAGATACTCAAAGCTGTTTCCTTACAGCAAAGGAGACAACACAAAAATGTCTTGCAGACCTCAATGGGTAATTATGAGTATTATGAGAAAAAATACACAAGTACTTCGTCAAGTGCTATGCTACTGAAGCATATGCAATTATAAAATAGTACATAAAGAGCACTTTTCCTATTTAATAACAAAACACTATTAAAGAGGTGATTATAAAATTAGAGTCCATGGGGTGCCTGGCTAGCTCAGTTGGTGGAGGGTGCAACTCTTGATCTCAGGTTCGAGATCAAGAGGGTGTACAGGATTACTTAAAAATTTAAAAAATCTTAAACTCTTGATTTCGGCTTAAGTCTTGATCTCAGGGTTGTGAGTTCAAGTCCCATGTTGGGCTCTCTACTGGACGTGGAGCCTACTTTAAAAAATTAATTGGGGCCCCTGGGTGGCTCAGTTGTTAGGTGTCTGCCTTCGGCTCGGGTCATGGTCCTGGGGTCCTGGGATCAAGCCCCGTGTCAGGCTCCCTGCTCTGCAGGAAGCCTGCTTCTCCCTCTCCCACTTCTCCTGCTTGTTTTCCCTCTCTTGCTCTGTCTCTGTCAAATAAATAGATAAAATCTTTAAAAAATAATAATAGGGGCGCCTGGGTGGCTCAGTCGTTCGGCGTCTGCCTTCGGCTCAGGTCGGGATCCCAGGGTCCTGGGATTGAGCCCCGCATTGGGCTCCGTGCTCTGCAGGAAGCCTGCTTCTCCCTCTCCCACTCCCCCTGCTTGTGTTCCCTCTCTGTGTCTCTCTCAAATTAAAAAAATCTTAAAAAATAAATAAATAAAAATAATAATTAAAATAAAAATAAATAAAACAAAATAATAAAACTAAAAATAAAATCTTAAAAAAAAAAACAAACCCAAACCAAAATTAGAGTCCAACTGCATGATATGAATTTTGGAAAAGTATGAATAATTGAAAACCTTTAGGAAATGTTTCTCATTTCACGAATTCAGGGCATTGTTATAAAAGTAAGTGTACTCTAGGGGCGCCTGGGTGGCTCAGCAGGAAGCCCGACACGGGACTCGATCCCAGGACTCCAGGATCACAACCTGAGCCAAAGGCAGATGCTTAACCGACTGAGCCACCCAGGCGCCCCTGAAATCAATTTTAGAGGTCCTGATCAGCAATCAAAAAATGACAAACAATATCAGAGTGCACTGCCCATAATAAAAATAACTATTATTTTATGTAAACTGTTTTAGTTATGTGTGTGTATATATATACTATATATATAAAAAATAAAGTTATATGTCTGTCTATACACAGAGTCAAGATGTAAAATTTTTTCCTTTATGAGGAAAAAGCAAGAAAAGCAAAAAAGCTCTAATACAGTTGTTATGAATGAGGGAATGGGTTTTCATATGTGGTCTCACTGGCTGCTCCCACTGATAAAGAACCAAGTAAATGAAGGTAAGCAGATGAAGATCACCAAATACTATCTTAAATATAAATAATGGTTATCTTTGGAAATTAAGAAGAACCCCGGCGACAGCCCAGTTGTTGTCTAACAATATTCCACGAAACCTGGGGTTTCTTTTAGGAACATTTATTGTCCCATTTAAGGGCAAGGTGGAAGTCAATCATGTATGTTGCATTACCACCTAATAGTTCACACCCAAAAAAAGAAGGGGGGGATTCAGCTGCTAGAATTATCACTGACATACATACACTGACATTTTCTTTAAATAATAGCAAGTTTTAAGCCAAAGAGATTGATTCCATTAAAAAAGTAAAAATAACCTGAGAGTTTTCAGGTCTTAAAGTCTGCATTCTGAATGCATGCATTTTTAGCATTTTTATTTTTTTAAAGGATTTATTTATTTGCGAGAGAGAGAGAGAGAGAGAGAGGGAGGGAGAGAGAGCGCGCGCGAGCGCGTGCGCGCGTGGGGGGAGGAGCAGAGGGAGAGAATAGAGATAATCTCAAGCAGACTCTCAGCTGAACATGCAGCCCCAATGCAGGGCTCGATCCCTCCACCCTGTAATCATGACCTGAGCCGAAACCAAGAGTCAGAAGTTCAACCGACTGAGCTACCCAGATGCCCCATTTACTAGCATTTTTAAGTGAAATTTTGTGGCAATTATGAACAAGTCAAAGCTTTTATCACCTTTTCTTCCATTTCATACCTTTTCTTTAATGCTCTATTGCCTCTAAGTGGCAACAGAGTCACTTCAGCTACTGTCCCTGTAAAAAAAAATTAACTATAGCCAAACAACTGAGAATTGGAGTTGGCAGATAGTTATCTTATGATCAAAATGGTGGGCACCTGGGTGGCTCAGTCGTTAAGCATCTGCCTTCAGCTCAGGTCATGATCCTGAGGTCCTGGGATCAAGCCCTGCATCAGGCTCCCTGCTCAGCGGGAAGCCTGCTTCTCCCTCTCCCACTCTCTCTGCTTGTGTTCCCTCTCTCGCTGTGTCTCCTTCTCTGTCAAATAAATAAATAAAATCTTTAAAAAAAAAAATGAATTAGTGTTCCACTACTCTTGATTTCCAACATCAGAAGTATCAGAATTCACTTTCCTTAAGATTCCTTTTTATCCTAATTGTTACTCAGGTTGGCTTAATGGGATATCAAATTAAGCCTGAATTTGGATGCTTGACATAAACCTGTAACTGAGAGAACTCGTTTTTATTGATAAAAAGCATAATTTTATATTAAGACCACTAACAATGCACTGGATTTACTTTTCTGAGAAAGAAAATCATTGCGCATTTAAAAAATCTGTTGGATAGTGGTATTTAATAAAAAACAAATGATTTCCATAAAGGATCATTAAAAAAACAACAGAAAAGGCTATTTAACAATTAAATAAATAGTAAAAGGCTTTTAGTTATAGTCATGCAATACCAAGGTAAAGATCTATGATACTTCAACTATGTGACTAAGGCTTTGAAGGTAGGTAGCTTAAACTCCTACATAAAGAAATTTGTCTACACACAGAAAACATGGATTTTAAATGTCTTTTGATGTCCTAACTAGTTTGTCAGGTATCTTATAACTAGCCAGATTATTTAAATCTCAATTCTTGTTATTTACCTTTATGTGGATGGCTGGTTACTTATTTAACAGCAGAGGCATGGAACTATGTGAGAAACTACTTGAGATTTTTTTTACTTAAAAAAAAATTTTAAGTAAAATTTGGGCACCTGGGTGGCTCAGTCGGTTAGGTTAAGCATCTACCTTCGCTCAGGTCATGATCCCAGGGTTCTGGGATCGAGTCCTGCATCAGGCTCCCTGCTCAGTGGGGAGTCTGCTTCCCCAACCCCCACTCATACGTGCTCACTCCCGTGCAACCTCACTCTCTCTCGCAAAATAAAATCTTAAAAAAAAAAATTCTCCGTAAAAGCACAAAAACTGCAATAATATTTAGTGAGACTGTTACCCTCACTTAGCTCATTTATAAAAAATATCCTTTGCTATGAGAAGAGAAAATGGTTCTCCTTCCACTTACCCTGTGTTTCAAAACACCCACATCTTTAAAAAAACTTAATTATAGGCTTATTCTTTAAATTCTTCTTTTATCATTCAGCTATAGCCATGATTACAGGTATAGCCTACATTGTGTTTAATTGTTTATATTTGCTCAAATATCCCAGCACCTCATAATGGACTCCTTGTTATCTAACCATTTTATGTAACCTAAGACATGGCATATCATAACCTCTAATTTACATGTCTGCCTGGACTAAATAACAAGGACGCTAAATATCACGAACATGAAGGTTAAACAACTTGTCCAGACCAAGCCAGGAAATATAAAGATAAAATATGCATGTCTGCCACTATGGAAAGTTCCTTGAGCAATCCTTTGCACTGCAACTTCTAAATAATGACTGATGTGACACAAAGAGCTGCCTTGAATCATATGAGATTTTAGTACCTTTGCTGAGCCAACTAAAAAACACCAATCACAATGCTCACCATTTCTGTATTCAGAATATATTCAAGTACCTCAAATTTGTCCCTCTTCATTTCTACTCAAATGAAATCTTTATCACCAAATGTATTTTGTTTTTAAATTCAAGTCCTCTAATGCAAATCTGTGGTAACAATCTTTAAAAAATGATTAAGTTGACTTAACTTACCCTTTGTCTGAAGTCTGAATCAGCATTTGGATTTAGCCCTAAAAGAGCCTGTTCATCCATCCCTGCTACTATTCTTGGAGTTTTCTGATTACAATAGGCGTGCCCTCTGATCCCACAGAAGAATCCACAAACATCTGCACACACACAAAAAAAAATCAAAGAAAACAATACTTGATACAAAATCGATGCTTATCCAGAATACCGTAACAAGTGGATGACATTATGCAAGTAAGTGTAAATGTTGAAAGAACTTCTTTTGAAACTACCCAAAATTACAACTAAAGGAACCTAAGTCTCAGAAGAATAGCCCTACTAAATACCCCACAAATGTGTAATTTCTAAAAATCTAACATATGCAATGTTCTCAAATTTTCTTATTCAAGATCATCAAGTATACAAAGTAATTCTTTTCTACTTTAAAAAGAAGCATCTCATTTATGCAGTGTAATCACCCCCAGTAGTTAAAAGTGCAACTCTGCAACCATATTAAAATATGACAAATCTAGATTATCTTATTATACTAATTTGCCTACTTCCATTTACCAATATCACAAACTTTTAGGGAAAAAAACAACTTAGAATGGCTGATTAAATAGTAACCTGGGAGTTCAATATCCTTACTGGAGTGTCTATCAAGTACTTCAAGGTAAGTCAAATGAAAGAGGAAGAGTAGAGGAGTGAAAAACCAGTCATTTAACTTTTAAGCAATAGACTCTCTGGACAATTTTAGAAATGTATTTCAAAAACATTTTTTAATAGTAGCTATAAAAATTGATAAACCAGAATTAATACTGACTACTCTTATTTAAGAACTTTTTTTTTAGTCAGTATAGGGTCTAACATTCTCAAATAAGAACATGATTAAGCCCCAAAGGGCAACCTGGTTTTTGACAGAATGTATAACTGAGGGAACAAGGAACAAATTCTAAATGATGTGAAAATCACATTTATTCTCTCAATACCTATGAGGTAGGGAGACCATGCCTACTATTCCCATCAAAAGGCTATAGGGTTTTTTTTGGGGGGGGTTAATTATCATAAACCAAAGAGAAGAAACTTAAAGAAGCCAAGAAACTAAAGGCAGGGGGTGGGGGTGCACAGCCTTTTTGAAACGGTGAGGCCAGTATCTGACCCAGGCTAGAGGACCCCAACTACAATATGCTTTTCTGTCTTCCCCTGGGCCTGCCTGAAACAAGTAAGTCAGGTTATGTGCTGAGAGCCCTTCAGAAAAGCTCAGCCCTTTCTCTTATGATTACTATCAAACGTTCAGACTACAGCAAGGCAGGATCCACTGCCCTCAGGGTTAAGACGCAAACTCTTGAATGACTTGCTATTCTGCACCCCAACCCTGCAAGGCCAGTGGTATTCTACCTTTCATCTTTGCACTCACTGCTCTTTTCTTGTTACTTGGTTAACCCTTGCCTGTCCTTCAAAATTCAGCTTAGAGGTCACCTCTTTCAAGAACACTTCTTTGACCCCTATTGTCCAATTCTACCAAACTGGATTAAATGCCCCACATAAGTGCTAATATGTTGTCACTGCCTGCTTACGGTTTTCTCTCTATAATCTTAAACGGAAAGGACCATCTTAAATATTCCTCATTATGTCTCTAGGACATAGTAGCACATAGGCTTTGGGTTTGGACATACCTGGGTTCGTATTACAATCTAGTCATTTTCAAACTGGGGCAATATGGACAACTAGGAAACGTGAGAGAGCCCTCTCTATGAAGTGGGAAAGAGAGGGTCTACCTCATAAAGTTGCAAAGACTTCAGTGAGATAAGGTATGTAAAGGATGCCTGGCACATAGTGGGCCCTCAACAGATTATTTATAATTCAGAGCTAGTCACATGGGGAATGGGAACTACTTGGAGCAGTCTTGATTTATCATCTCATACTTATAAACGGGCATTTGAACAGATGAAAACAAAAAAAGGCAGTGGTTTTCCTCCCCTATCCCTGCCAAAAATGACAAGAAAATTTAACAATTCCCTGGAAAAATGCAAACACAAAAAAGAAATTTTGAGTTTCTGTGAATCCCAGATTAATAAGTCCTATGAGGGGGCGCCTGGGTGGCTCAATCAGTTAAGCGGCTGCCTTCAGCTCAGGTCATGATCCCGTGGTCCTGGGATGGAGCCCTGCCTCAGGGTCCCTGCTCAGCAAGAAGCCTGCTTCTTCCTCTGCCTGCTGCTCCCCCTGCTTGTGCTCTCTGTGTCAAATAAATAAATAAAATCTTTTAAAAAAAGCCCTATAGGGGCGCCTGGGTGGCTCAGTCGGTTAACTGGCTGCCTTAGGCTCTGGTCATGATCCCAAGCCAAGGTCCTGGGATCTATCTATCCGTGCTCCCTTCTCAGCAGGGAGGCTGCTTCTCCCTCTCCCACTCCCCCTGCTTGTGCTGTCTCTGTCAAATAAATCAATCTTAAAAAAAAAAAAAAAAGTCCTAAAGAGATTCTTTGAATTTAGGGAAAACTGCTTAAGCTTGGTCAAGTCCCTTTAATTCTATCAAGCAAAACAGCACTGGTCTTAAAAAACCTGGCCAATAAATAACCTAAGGAAACATAAACTTGCTACAGTTGTCAGTACAGAAAGAATCCCCCATAGAGAAGGAACCTGTATAATAATCAATATGCAGTGGAACATAACCATGAAACGGTGAATTACCTACATGTGTGCAAACAACTGAAAAGTTACCACCTGTGCAGAAAAGGTAACAGTTCCCTCAGTTAAAGGTTGTGCATGAACACATAATGTTCTAACGTGGCATAGACGTGCAGGCTTAAACATTTGTTACAGTGCGATAAACACTTCAATTATGCATCTAGTAAATGTTTTGGGAAAAGGCAAGCAACATACTTAAAATATTAAGCCCGAACTTTTCTTTGGTAGCCATTAAATAAATCAAACAATCTGGGGAAATTCCTCCACACCTACTAGAGACTGTTCAAAGACCAGGACTGAATCTTTCCAGTCTTTTAACACCACGCTGACAAGTCGCTTTAATAAAACGTAACTTCCCCCCGTAACAACTAATTAGCACTTTCAAAAAGTACTCGTTTCTTCTGGTTACAGGGAACCATCACGCTTGTCTACTCCTGCAGAACTGTGAGGAAGGGAAGAGAAGAAATGGCGTGTCTGTGCTGGCAAATTACTACACAGAAATAACACTTTTCTCCTTTTTGTCCTGGGGCAGGGGGGTGGGAGCAAAGCAAGTCTGAGGGTCTCCGCAGTTGAAACTAGTGGGACACGGTGCTATTACAAATGAGCCTGGTCACTTCCACTACATTAGGGGCCACAGACGATGCCAACCCCCCTTGGCCGCCCTTGCCCCTTCCTCACCCCCTCTCCGTCCCTCCCCTAAAGAAAGCCTCGTGGCAATTCGGGTGATGAAACACCCAGCAACGGGCGGCCACGCACTCGGGGCTCCGCGGCGACGGCCGCAGCTCGTACCCACCCCCACCCAGTCCGCCCAGCATCGGGGCGCTACCGCCATGGAGGGCCCCCGGCCCGCACCCCTCCCCAGCGGGGGGCTCCCCGGGCCAGTCCTCCCGGCTAACTTCCCCGCAGCCTCGCACGGACCCACCGGGTCCGAGTCCCGCCGCCCCCGAGCTCCGAGTCACCTTCCCTATCAGTCCATCCCGCCTCCCCGCCTGCACTCCCGAGGGCTGGTCAGCGGAGCGGAGCGGCGCCGCACGCAGGGAGCAGAGAGAGCGGCCCTCGTCCTTGTCGCCGTCGTCCTCCGCCACGGCCGCAGCGCTAACGCCGGAGACCGAGCTGGCCGGGGCCGCGAGCCGCTCCGCGTCCCCTGGCGCCTTCTTTTGCGTGGCGCCCGGCCGGCAAGCTACGAGCAGGCGGGCGGGGTCGGCGCCCCAGGAAGGGAAAGAGCGCGAGGGGCCGGCTAACGCCGCCGCCGCCGCCGCCGCCTTCGTCGCCGCTGAGTCAGCGCGAAGCGCGCTCCCCGCGTCGGCGCCGCGCGGACCAGCACCAGCAGCCTCATGGAGAGTGCGGACGGCAGGCCGCGGGCCCGGGCCGGGAGCCTACAACTCCCGGCATGCAACGGGCAGGGGGGCGCTTCCGGACGCTCGCCGAGGCCTGTGGTGCATGCCGGGATGGGGCGTCCGGCGCGAGTCCCTCCCACGCCGCTGAGTCTCGTGTGGGTCCTAGCCGCTGGTGGGGTGTGCTTAGAATGTTCCGTAAAGGCTTCATTAGGTAGTTGGTAGGTTAGAGTATCGAGCTCCTGAGATCCAGATGACGTAGTCCAAACCACGTGCGATTTAATTGCTCTTCTATGGTCCCACGTGTTTAGGGTCCGGGAGCATGAAGATCCTCTCAGGAGCGCTGAAAGTTCTTAAAACTTCACTTTAAACGTACTAGTATATTATCATTCATGAAAAGGAGAGCATTCTTAGGGAGTTCTCGTAGGTTACTTCTCTGGTACTGTTACTTCGTTTATTCAGAGGCAGTATTGGCGCAAGTTGTCTACATTTGAATCCCCGCCCCAACCCACCTTCTTTCCCCTCCCACACTTGACCTCAGTTTCAGGCACTTTACATAATCTAGCTGTATTTCAGTTTACTCATTTGTAAAATGGGGACAATAGTACTGACCTCAAAGGGTTCTTGTGAGGACTGGGATAATATATGTTTGCACACAATAAGTGCTCAATTAGGTATCATTGTTGCTTATTCACTACTGAATACAGACTTGGTTGCAGTCACTCCAACTATAGGGAGGAGCAAACAAAACTTGGGCGGGGAAATTCGGAAAAGAAGTAGAATGAAAGTACTCTTAACAGTTTAGCAGCTACATTTGTTTAGTGACCCACCATGTGCAAGGCACTACACTACGTATTTCATATATACAATATTTTGCATCACGTTTGTAATTTTAAAATGTCAGGTAAGGATTCCTGTCCTATTTCAGTGTATCTCTGGAGTCTAGCACATAGGCCAGTGCCAGACTGTAGTTAAAGCTCAATAAGTAGGGGCGCCTGGGTGGCTCAGTCGTTAAGCGTCTGCCTTTGGCTCAGGTCATGATCCTGGGGTCCTGGGATCAAGCCCCACATCGGGTTCCCAGCTCAGCAGGAAGCCTGCTTCTCCCTCTTCTACTCCCCGTTTGTGTCCCTCTCTGTGTCTCTGTCAAATAAAATCTTTCAAAACAAAATAAAACAAAACAAAAACCTCAATAAGTAGATAATTGCATGGATTGAGCCTTACATTACCTGTGTCCCTCAACAATGGACTATGGAGACCCAATATTAATCCTAGTCTGAGTGGCTCCAAAATCTTTAATATATTCAGTCTATGTATGTTCCATTTACCTAGTATCTACAGCTTATCTATAGTTTATCTAGCGACATTGGCCCTTTATGGTAATTAAAATACCTAGGATTATAAAAATCTTTCAATTTTGAAAACTTACATTATTTTGAAACAAAGAAGCACTTGGTGGAATCCAACTGAAGAGGACCGGAAAGTGTTATTAAATTTGATCACTTTATAGTCTGGCTTTCTCATTGCAGACTAACAAAATAATATGAAAATGTTAATAGGGACGCCTGGGTGGCTCAGTCGGTTAAGTGTCTGCTTTCGGCTCAGATCATGATCCCAGGGTCCTGGAATCGAGTCCGTACATCTCCCTCTCCATCTGCCTGCCACTCCCCCTGCTTGTGCTCTCTCTCTCTGTCAAATAAATAAATAAAATATTTTTTAAAAGTTGATAAATAACATTGTCATTATTTTAATTTAAAGCATATATACTTGCACATAGCAATGTTTTTACGTATTAATTGCCAACAGTGTTTATTATGTGCCAGAAACAGCTTTAAGTGTTCCTAAATTAATCCTCACAACAACTCTATGAGTTAGGTATTATCACTAACCCTATTTTATAGATAAGGAAACTGAAAGTAGCAGAGCTGAGATTCAAACCCACTTCATATGTACTGGAAGGTTTATCTCTAGGTGGTGAGATTGCAGATGATTTTTTTTTCATACTTGTACATTTCTGGATTTTAAAAATCCTCCACAATGTGATGTAATGAGCACTGGGTATTATGTAAGACTGGTGAATCACTGAACTCTATCTCTGAAACTAATAATACACTCCATGTTAATTAATTGAATTTAAATTTTTTAAAAAGTAAAAAAAATAAAAAGGCAAAAAAAAAATCCTCCACAGTGACCATGTAGTATTGTCATAAGCAGAAAAACATTAAAAAAAAAACCTGACTAATAAAAGGAAAAAAGAAATAGTTTCATTCACTCTTTGAGCATTTATTGAATGCTATGTCCCTTATGAAGCATTTTCCAGAGTTCTTCAACCAGGTTTGTTTAATCATTTCTTTGATGTTGCTTTTTTTAAACCTCTTTATGTCATGAATATATCCTAATATGTTTTTGTTTTGTATTAAATTTGTGCGGTTGTCTTACCTATGACTCAATTCTTGAAGACTGAAAATAAATCTTACCTTGATTCTGTTTATGGATAGTGATTTCTCAGTAAATATTTGTGAGATGCATTGAATTGAATCAAAAATAATACAGTTGTGAGCTGCTAACCCCTGAGTTCTGTGTCAACTTCTCTTCTTCATATGCTTCATCTCAATGCTTGTTAAGCCCAGTGCCATTGTCACCAAAAGCTCATTCATTCAAGATGGGTTTCCTGGCAGAGGAAGAAGTTGGAAAATAGGTCAGGTAAGCTGTCTTTACTGGTCCTAGTCCAATCATTGTTTTTTCTTAGAGGAAGTGGGTGTGAGGCAGGAAGCCTGAAGCAGACTAGAGCACTGAAGCATTATTTAGTAAAGGAAAAAAATTTTATTTTTAATCCAAAACACTGTACAGTCCCTTAGGCTTCATTATAATGACATCTCTCCTCCATGTCAGTTGATTGCTGTTAATAGTCATTTAAATGGTCAGTATCCACTGATACTGAATAGAAACACCAAGAGACTCCTAAATCAGACACCTTTAAAAATTCAGGTTCTATTTACCTACTACAGATTGCAAGTTTCTTTCTATGTGCATTGTCTGTCTTTAGTTTCAAACTGGGAGATGGGAACACTTGGGATCCTGGGATGGAAGAATATTTCTAGTTTGAAATCCTTACAGTGTTCTTATGACCTATGGCTACCTGACCACTTATCCACAAAAATCACAACTTAAAAATGCCATTTTTTTGTCTGTGTGTATATATGTAGATTCGATTTTTGCCTTGAGCTTTAATCTCAAGTTTAAAAAGTTAGGCTAGCATCCAACAGACAAGAATTTGATATTACTTTGTATATGGGGAACCAAATGCCCATATATACGCCAGGAAATCACACATTTGTTCAATTTATTTTTAAAACCCTTAAATAGGATTTACTCTGTTTCAGGTACCTGTCATAAAGTACTTCAGAACATTGTTAATCCTCATAATAACCCTATGGAGTTGGTACTATTACCACATTTCACAGATGGGAAAATTAAGGCACTAAGAAATTAACTCGTCCAAGATCATTTAGCTCCTGAATGTGAGAGCTGAAATTTGAACCCAGGTCATCTGGCTCTATAGTCCTATGCTCATAATTACTGCCCTTCTAAACTAATTGAATTGACCATCCCTCAACCTAAGGCTACTCTGTTCTGGTGAAAGTTCTTCTGGTTAAGGAAAGTGCCTTAGGGATTAGTTCTGGGTAAGTAATGTTCCATTACTTTTGATAGTTTTATCAAGAAACATCTATTAAGTGCTTTATTGCACAGGAATTGTACTAAATGTTTCTTGAGTTTAGATGGACTTAGAAGATAAAGAGTAATTGCCTATCTCGGATGTATTTATGTCAATTATCCACATAAAGCTTACCAAAAGATAAGGAAATACAAATTATTAATACGTGTCTATAGTGCTTTTAGAATTCATAATTCATTGCATTTGATCCTCACACCAACTCATTGGTTGGCCAGGCAAGTATTGGTAGTTTCATTTTACGGATGATGAAACACTGAAGTCCAAAAAGGTTAAGAGACTTTCCAGAAATCTCACAGATACCGAACAACAGGGTTTGCGCTGTAATCCAGGTCTCCTGACTCCAAATCCAGTGATCTATTCCCTCTATTAAGGCCCTTTCCTGCGATCTGAACTTTGTTGTTACCTTGGCAACAGTGTAGAACACTCAGTGCCTGAAAACCATGATGCTGCCTTTTCTGTGTGCCACAAACTTGAAAGTTTAGCTGAGGTCGCCTTAACCAGCACTACTTTTATCAAATTCCCTTCTGCACTGGCTTCATCTTAATGTTTGTCAAGTCTAGAGCCTTATCACCAAGCTCATTTATGATGGGTTTCTTGGCAGATAGGTCAGGTGTACTGTCTTTTCTAGTCCTGCTGCAGTTATTCTGTATCTGTTAGTCCCAAATATGGAGCAAAAGCCTGACGGACACTAAATAGCAGCTTGGAATGAGGCTTTTTCCCATGCTTGGGCTTCACATTTCACTTCGGATGTAGTCATTTGCCTCTGAACGGCTCTTGTGAGGCAGCTCTTTGGCAAAGGTAAAAGGCCTTTGCCTTCTGTTGGTTTGAGGCAACAAACTGTGTAGAGTGGTTTCGATAGGGGATAGTCTTTTTTTTTTTAAGATTTTATTTATTTATTTGACAGAGAGAGACAACGCGAGAGAAGGAACACAAGCAGGGGGAGTGGGAGAGGGAGAAGCAGGCTTCCTGCTGAGCAGGGAGCCCGTTGCGGGGCTCCATCCCAGGACCCTGGGATCATGACCTGAGCCAAAGGCAGATGCTTAACGACTGAGACACCCAGGTGCCCCTGGATAGTCTTTATTTTAGAGGAAATAGTCATGCCTCTGGGGCCCCCTTCTTATCCACCTATGAAGTTATGAAGAATCAGACAGATGTCTGATCAGATTCTAAGAAAACTTGGAATGCTAGGTCATTTAAGATTTTGTCAGCAGGTGGCACTTCTCTCCTTAGTCACTAAATACAATCTCTCCAATAAAAGAAATACTGTTTTTCTTTGCTGCTATTGAGTTCCTCAGAACTGGTTAGCCACCCGAACATTTCTCCTCAGTTCCTTTTTGCAGTGATTCAGTCTACAATATCTGTTTATGTATTTTAATTTGTTTATACTTTCCCCATAGATTTGAAATTGTTTATAGCATACAATATACAACAGCAAAATATGAGGAGGAGAATATGAACTGCAATAAAGAATATACAATTTGATTCTGAGTTGTGGGTAGCTGGAGCAAAAATACACACAAATGTGTACCATTACTTTGGGTGAATGGGCAGGGAGAGAGAATGACTTTTCTAGAACTTGAAATTAAAATGGAAGTTGTTACCTAGGGTTATTAGAGGCAAGTTTCTATGCCCTTCTCATCTCTCTAACTTAATTTATAATAAGTGACTCCTGATCTGTAAAAAACGAAGCAGTACTTTTACTGTCATGACGCTTCAAGGGTGCACAATTAGCGTTCCTCCACCTCTGGTCCTCAACGTTTCAAGATGCGGGCCTCCTCCATTCATTTATCCTACACATATTGAGCTCTGACGGTCTACGGGTTTTGTCCTCTACTTTGGGAAGACAAGCATACCCTTTAGACTTGGGCGTACCAAATCAATTTATAAGATTTCCTTCAGAGAGAGCGCTTTCAATTAGTTGGAGAGAAAAGATCTACGTTCATACTCACGAATAACTAGAGGACTGTATCAGGCAATGTTACAATCAAATGCTAAATCTGTGCGATTGGTCTTCGTAGGATTCTAGGGTTGTTCTGCCTATTTAAAAATAAATGGGTAAATTTCATCTCGTTTCTAACAGAAAACAGTTTGAAATTGTGGATTCCCTCATCAATACCGTCTGTTAGAAGTGGCGTGGCCCTCAATAGCTGAGGAGGGCGGGGGTGTTGGGGGCTGCTGTGAGCAGAGGACGAAGAGAGCCCCTAAATATCCGTCCCGCAGCCCACGGGATGCTTGATGATTTACCGAAGGACCAGCGTCTCGCCCCGTCCACTGTTGGCTGGGCACCGAAGTTGGGGGCCCTGCTCCCCGCGCCCGGGGAAGGTGGCGGCGGCGGGGCGGGCGACTTTGTGGCGCGCGCGGGTTCCACCGCAGGCGGCGCGGAGGCGGGGCCGGGCAGAGGTGTCCGCCCCCCCCCCTCCCCCGCGTCCCCGGCACTCGCTCCGGGCAGCGGGCGCCGCGCATGGCCGGCTCCGCAAGGTCTGGCTTCCCTGTGCAAACGAATAGCCGTCTGGACGCTTTCCTGCGGAGGCAGTTTCCGCCCGAGGTCTACGACGCCATCCGCGCCTACGAGCCGTGCATCGTGGTGTCCGACTCGGAGAAGCACACCTTCAAGTACGTGGTGCTCAGCGATCGGCTCATCTACCTGACCGAGAACCCGCCCAAGTCCATACGGCGAGCCGTGGCGCTGCGGGACGTCGTGGCCCTTGACCTGGTGAGGAGCGCGGGCGGACAGGCGGGCTCGCGAGATATACCTTCGTGGGTCCCCCAATTCCAACCCTCCGCATGCGGGAAGAGGGAGGAGGCGGCAGACCTTCCCCATCCCTCCCTGGACTCCCGTACTTTCAACTTACTTCAGGACTAGAAGCCACAGGAAACTGGATTGCTGTGTGTACTCCGATTAAAGATGCCTTGCCCGTTCTCATCATGTGTACTGGTCATCCCTTGTCCCCCCCAAATAGGGCTACAGGTTTGAGAACGTAGCCCCCTATGAAAAGTATGCTTTAAAGTCGTTTTTTTCGTTCATTAAGCACTTAACCTGTTCCAGGCACTTGTTCTAGGCACTGAGGACGCAAAAATGAAATAGCGCCCCTTCCTAGAAGCTGCTGTGGGAGAGAAAAAGCCAAAACCAATGCAAATAAATGCAGTGTGCTAAGTACTATTATGCCTTGTTTACTTTTTTATCAACAGTGCTTAGAGCTTGTTAGGTGCTCAATATGAATAAGTGAGTGAATGAATGAATGAATGAATGAGATGTGCAGAGGACACCTGGCAATCTCAGGCAGGTCACTTGATCCAAACTGGGCTTCAAAACTTCTTGAAGAAGATACAGTTTGGCATAGACACGCCTTGTCCCAGTTTTTAGTGTGCTGCTACTGTATCCCTTTCCTCCAGGAATAGATTTACCTTATAAACCCAGCAACAGATTGGAAGCAGTCTCCTCTCCACTTACAGTTTTTTCCCCCTTGGCTCCCTTTGTCTGAGTTGCTCTCCAGGTGTGTTCCTTTTTCCACTAGGGACAGATGTCTAGCCTCATCCCCCGTCTCCCCCGCCCCTCCCCCCAGTCTCTGCATCTCCCAAAGGAGAAGTGGACAAGACTTGGTGGGGCTATTTTGCCCAGAGAAGCATAGCTTGTTTGGAACACATCTGTAAGAAAATGATACAATTTAGTGAAAAAAGTGCTTTTATTTTTTCTCCCTAAAATACCTCTGTCAGGGCGCCTGGGTGGCTCAGTTGGTTAAGCGACTGCCTTCGGCTCAGGTCATGATCCTGGAGTCCCAGGATGGAGTCCCACATCGGGCTCCCTGCTCAGCAGGGAGTCTGCTTCTACCTCTGACCCTCTTCTCTCTCGTGCTCTCTATCTCTCATTCTCTCTCTCAAATAAATAAATAAAAATCTTAAAAAAAATACCTCTGTCAGTTAATACCACTACACAAATTTATTTGTGGGTTTTTTTTTGTTTGTTTTATGTTTTTTGTTTTAGAGTAAAAGTTGGAAGCAAACTGCCTTTTTCCTATTTTTCCTCACTATTTCCTCACTATTTTCATTCTCTTGAAATAAAATTTAAAACAGTTAATTTCCTTTATCAAATGCTTTTAAAACATCACATGCTTAGCTTTTTCTACTGTCTGCGGTGTAAACATTTATTGTTTTGACAAAATGTAATGATTTTACGATATTGTTACTCTCCCCGACAAGACACAGTATATTTATTCCAATGGTTGTAATATATCTTTCTTTTTGAGCTGTCAGAATCTCCAAAAGTACGTAAAGTTTCCTAGGCCTTCAAGCCAAAAATCCTCCCAAAAGGCGTACCAATTCATTTGGACATCTTTATATACAAAATTTACCTTTCGGGCATATAGAAGACTGTGTAAAGGTGCTGAACAAATCTAAGATTTCAGCACTGTTGATAGATTAAATGTCCATCTTGCACAATATAGTTGTGGCAGGCAGAATAATGGCCCCCAAAAGATATCCCTGGAAACTGTGAATATGTTACATTACACGGCAAAGAGGAATTAAAGTTGCAGATGCAACTGAGATTGCTTGCTAATCAGCTGATTTTAAAACAGGGAGATTAAAAAAAAAAAACACCAAAGTGTCCAAATAAAGAAACCCAAAAAAAGAAAAGAAAGAAGCCAAAATAAGTAAAATAGGGAGATTATTTTGGATTATCTGGGTGGGCCCAATGTAATCACAAAATCCTCCAAAGTGAAAAGGGAGGCAGAGTGCTGCAGCACAAGAGACTTAGTTCTGAAGGTGGAAGGGGCCAGAAGCCAAGGAATGTGGACAGCCTCTAGAAGCTGGAAAAGGCAAGAAAACAGGTTTTCTCCTAGAGCCTCCAGAAGGAATGCATTCCTCCTGACACCTTGATTTTAGCCCAGTGAGACCCATTTTGGATTTCTGACCTCCAGAACTGTAAGAGAATAAATTTGTGTTGTTTAATGCCACAGATTATGTGGTAATATGTTACAACAGCAGATGAATAGAAATGTTTCCTATTAATGTTTGTTTATCAAGGGAGAGAGCGAGAGCGAGAGTGAGCACGCGTGCAGGGAGTGGGAGGGTGGGGAGGGACAGAGGGAGAAGGAGAGAGAGAATCTTAAGGAGGCTTCATGCCCAGCAAGGAGCCCAACTCGGGTCTCAATCTCACAACCCTGAGACCGTGACCTGAGCTGGAACCAAGAGTCTGATGCTTAACCGACTGAGCCCCTCAGGCATCCCAATGATTACCCATTTTCAACAACATTAATAGGATGGGGTGCCTGGGTGGCTCAGTCGGTTGAGCATCAGACTCTTGATTTCGGCTCAGGTCATGATCTCAGGGCTGTGAGACTGAGACCTGAGCTGGGCTCCCTACTCAGTAGATAGTCTGCTTGAGATTCTTTCTCTCTGCCCCTCCCCCCCCAATAATTAAAGAAATCTTTAAAAAATTGGTAATCATTTTTTAAAAATATTGTTTCAGTGAGAAATAAATATAATCAGACTGAGTACAAATGCCTTAACAATCTCTTTTTCTGAGGTTTTATAAAATAATTCTCTGCGGAGAATTTTCCTGATTTCTGGGTTATATGTCATATAGTCACTTATCCTTGCTAACTCAGTCACTTCAATTACATGATTTCAGTGCCAGGCAGCTTTGTTTTTTTAGAACCGGTTCCTCCTTCCTTGAAAGATAAACTGTTTACTCTCCTTTTTTTTAGGGTGCTGCCCTCTTTCTAAGGTCAACTCTTTAGACATCCTTTTCCATTCTCAAAGGTTTTCTCATGTTACTGTACACGTCTGTCTTGTTATTTAACTTTCAGCCAGTTCAGGTTCCCATCCTGCTTTTGTTCTAGCTGTCACAGTAATAAAGTCCCTAAGCAAACCAGTCCTTTATACCTCTGGGCTCTAGCCCTCCCGGTTCCATGTTCGACCAGATTCCTTATTTATTTCGAGACACGTTTTGCAGTTACACTTCAGAATATAATTTGCAAATATACAGATAAAATTCCATTCTCTCCCCTAAGGAAAAAAAATGAAGGTAACAGCAACAAAAAAATTAGGCCAGATCTTGCATTGAATAAAAATGAGATTTCCCTTCCAGCAAAGATGAGCTTAAAGTGCACTGGGAGATCTCTGTGTTTGATCTGGTTCATCTCCTAAAAGAAAGGTTGCTAAGGTTTCTAAGGTTGCTTGGTTGCTTGGGCAGAGCTTTTATAAAAAGGCTGACATTTTCTTTAACAGTTACTTTTGAAAGAATTCTGCTCTTGTTGTGGGCATCAAAACATTTCTTTAAACTCTTCTAAGATTAAACACATATTTTTTAAGTGTGAGAAGCAACTATCCAGAAGCGAATTTCCTAGGAATTCACTCTCCTTCAATGCCATCCCATCATCTACAGAGAAAAACAAAGCTGTCAAATCCAGCAGCCTTCACCTCTTAGCCTCTTGCTGGGCTTTGTCATTGTCTTTTCACCGCTCCCCCCAGTGAGTATGGGCTCTCCAGCCATCCCAGGCTCCATGCGGCTTCCTGAACTGGCAACCAATGCACCTTTTACAGCCTGGCCTGTTGCTCGTGGTGAACATGTCCTCCTCCTTCAAGGCTGTTCAGATCCTCATATTTATAATCCTCTCTTCCTCTCTCTCCTCTTAAAACATGTCAAAACAGGGGAGCCTGGATAGCTCAGTCAGGAGAACACGTCACTCTTGATTTCCGGGTTGTGAGTTTGAACCCCACGATAGGCGCAGGGTTTACTTAAAAAAAAAAAAAAAGTAAAAACATCTTGGCTTGAACAGAAACAGGTCACAGGCTGTGTGTTGAAGGGGCTGCAAGAGTTTGCCACCTGATCCCCACTTTCCTCACTGCTGTATGCAGAGCTGACACGTTTCTAGGCTAAGCCCATCATTCTTTTTTTTTTAAGATTTTATTTATTCATTGAGACACAGAGATACAGAGAGACAGAGACAGAGAGAGAGAGAGAGAGAGAGAGAGCGCGCACAAGCAGGGGGAGAGGCAGAGGGAGAGGGAGAAGCAGGCTCTCCGCCGAGCCAGGAGCCCGACGTGGGGCTCGATCCCAGGACCCTGGGACCATGACCCGAGCCCAAGGCAGATGCTTAACCATCTGAACCACCCAGATGCCCCTAAGCCCATCATTCTTTCTCTGAGTTTTTTCTTGGCTAGACCATGAGGCAGGACTTTCGGTCTGTTTTGTTCATTGCTGTATCCCTGGTTCCTAGAACACTGCCTGGCACAGATGAGATGGTCAATAACTATCTGTTAAATACTCAACATAAGCCATTTCTTCTATTTCTAAATTTATTATCTGCAATATACATCGGACATTTAATAATACATAATAATACATAATATATTTTCATTCAGTTTTTGCTCTCTACCTGTGTAGACTTGGTCCAGTTATTTACCTTCTAGTCTGTGCCTTCATTCCTCATTTTGTAAGATGGAGATAAGAGCACCTTCCTTAGAGTTTTGGGGAGGATTAAATTCATTAATAATTGTAACACACTTAAAACAGTACTTGGAACATGGTAAGAGCTACATACATGTTATTATTGATAACCTTTATTCACACATATTAAGTCTATTAAGGTTCACTATGAATCTGTAATATAGATATTATCTTCCCTTTTCTTATCAGGGCACTTGAATTTAGGAGATTTAGTAAATTTGGAAAGAAAATAACTTTTGAGCACTGATTATATACTAGGTGTT